GGCAAAGCTCATTTAACAACTGTCTTGCTCAACTGTAGTCTTAACTCAAGGACTGCCTGTCAAGCAAGGAGGAAAAGAGGAAAATCTTGCTTAGCATAATGGAAAGCCGTGGTCTTCTCTGAGTGTGAGATATGACAAGGGAAGCCAACACTGAATCTTTACCAATGAAAAGGATGTCTAAAATCATGCCTGCATCTCCCTCTCCAGCGCAATTCTCAGACATGATATCATTTCAATGTAAAAAAAAAAGACAAGACTCTGGCAACTGTTTTATTGATGATAGCTAAGGATAGTTTAGTCAGGATAGTGTCCAAATATTTTTCCCCCAACAGTATCTCCTTCCAAATTTTTTTTTTCCCTCTTCCCTTCAATCATCTCTGATTCTCGGAGATTGCATGGAAAGTCCCTGACATTTTCTTGACAAGCTTTTTCAGAAATATTTTGCTACTGCCTCCTTCTTAGGGCTGGGAGAGTAACTGGACTAAGATCTTGCCCACTGGCTTTGGACCCAAGGTGGGACTAGAATTCACAAGCGCCTGGTTTCTAGCCTGGTACCTTCATCAGCAAAATGCCAAACTGGCGCTCAAAACATAAAGTCTGGAAACTATTTTTATATTAGCAAAGGGCAAACGGTGGATTTCTGCAGTTTCCATTGTAAACTAATGGATGTGAAATGGTGGAAACATCTCATGTTTTATATCCATATTATAAACTTTTCCAACTGAAGTTTAACGATTAACTCTTTAACCCAGATGTTTTCAAACCTCAGGAAAGGTACTACAAGGCTATCCCAAACAATGCAGCTGTTGCATTGCTGTTGAGGAGACAAACTCTTGTCTACTGAAATATTGGCTAATCTGTTTGGTTTCGCTATTATTGTGCAATTAGAAACAAGCTAACCCGCCTGATGGGTTATCGTATGTTCATAATTTATTGCAAGGAATCGTTGATAAAGCAACCTAACAAATCAAAGCCTTAATGATCCCTCTCTCCCTGTCTCTCTCAGTTGGGTCAGACCTATCTTATTGGACTCAATTGTTGTTGTTAGTTGCGAGGTCGTGTCCAACCCATTGCAACCCCATGGACAACTTTCCTCCAGGCCTTCCTGTCCTCTACGTCTTCTGGAGTCCATTGAAGCTCACGCCTAGTGCTTCAGTATTAGATTCAATACTGCCAGTTATATTTTGCTAATGTTGTTCTTTTTATTATTTCTGATGTAATTTAATTTTAATGTCTTGTGAGATATCCAGCCACATCTGAGATGGAGTGCTATATAAATTGTTTAAACGAATGAATAAAACATATCCCAAGAAACTGCTTGGTTCTAAAGGAATTACAAGAACAAAGTTTATAACACAAACCTCAACACGTTTATTGGCGTCTATTCTAAATGATTAGTGAAATACTACTCAGAAATCATTGTATTTGATTAAATGAATGCAAAATTGAAACAGGACAATTTATGCGCAAAATAGGAATGGCACTAATATTTAAATGTACTGCAGATATTATCCCTAATGAAAACTGGAATAAGATGTTTTACACTGGCATATTATTCCACTACTAATATCCAGCATTATTTTAATAATACTTTTTTTTCTCCAAATTCACCATTCTCCATTAAATTATTTAAGAACATCGACCCTGCCTTCACCTGAACTTGGATAGGTGCCTGCATAGTTGACTGATTTACCGTTTACCATCTTCATTTTTATTCACTCTTCTCCTGCTGGTAAATCTCTTTTGTATTTTTTGTTTGTTTTCCAGTGTTCCTTGATTACGCTCTTAAATATCTGCTGCAATAAAAAAGTATAGTGTGTATACTCTGGATAGTTTGGATTTAAAAATTATGATCTATTTTTAATTCTCATTTTAATAACATAAGACAGTTTTACATCAATTAAAAGTGCAATTGCAGACCCACTATGGTTTTCAAATAAACTTTAGGAAATGTTTAGAAAGTATTTCCAGCTGTCACAAAAGCAAGTCAAAATTTGGCTTCTTAGGGAACTATCATAGAAATCTAGTCTAACAAAAAAAAAAAGGACTAGGGCTGACACGACAGCAGTTTTCCAACATTTGGGGGGCTGTCACAGACAAAATGGGGTTGACCTGTTCTCTAAAGCAGGGCAGGACAAGAAATAATGACAGGACGTTTATACAATCTAGAATTAAGCAGAAATTTCCTGACAGTTAGAACAATTAATTAGTAAAATGGCTTGCCTCAGGAAATTGTGGGGGCTTCATGACTGTAGGTTTTTAAGAAGAGACTGGACATCCATTTGTCCGGAATGATATAGGCAACCTCGGCTCTTTTATGACTCATGGACTTCAACTCCCAGAATTCCTGACTCAGCATAGCTGACTCAGGAATTCTGGGAGTTGAAGTCCATGAGTCATAAAAAAGCCGAGGTTGCCTACCCCTAGGGCAGTAGTTCTCAACCTTTCTAATGCCGTGATCCCATAATACAGTTCCCCATGTTGTGGTGACCCCCAAGTGGGTGTGGCCACCAATAAGAGGGAGTAGGACAGCTAGGGAAAAGGGAACAAAATGGTGGACAGCATGGTTTGGCGACCCCCATGAAATGGTCGTTCGACCCCAAATGGGGTCCCGACCCACAAGTTGAGAACCACTGCCCTAGGGTTTCCTGCTTGAGCAGAAAACCTCCTACTTTGCTATTCTATATTCTGTAAATATCATCCAACAGAGGAAGGCTAGAATAGTCAGCACCACAAATACACAGGAAAACATGCAAATAAAGTCAAGAAACTTTTTGGGAAATGGGACCGTTTGATAAAAGAACAGGAAGACTGAATGTCAAATGAGCCATCAAAAAGCATTACGCAGTGCTGGCATTTACAGTCTCTCTAGTTATGCTGAACTATCCACACACAAAAAAATCCCTTTTTTAAAAAAACAATTCTTCCTTTAATGAAGCAACATAAGCTTATCTCTACCAGAAACTGAAATCTGGTATCTGTTGTAACTAATCCTGCAGTTCAACCGCTAAAGCTATTTGCTTCTCCATTTGCAACCTATTGCAGGAGGAAAGTCTATAGTAATAAAAAAACCAGAAGTAGTCTGGGACAGCATCTTTTCTACCAAATGTTATTCAATTATTAAAAGGCTAAAGCACTTGTGAGTCACAGTTCATCTTATCAGATGGCTAGAGTATCTAAGAGATATTCTATAATTCACAGACACAAACACACTTACTGAATTTCTACGGCTGCCCAGCTCAAGCAAGTGACTCTACATAACCACAACCTCTATCTACAACCTATTTATGCATCTGATGAAGTTAGTTGCAGCTAAAAAAAAAAAAAAAAAAAAACTTAGGCTGTTTAATAACATTTGCTAGTTGAATCAGGAGCTACCAGATTCTTTGAAACCGAGCAACGGATAATGAGCAAATGGCCCTGAAGAGAATAGGAAGTTTATTTTTATTTTTTCAGTTCCTCTTTAGGACAAAAGATGAGAACAGCATTATATGGGGAGCCAAAGATACATATTATGGAAATTTAGTTAAAAATTGACTCAAGGTATCACTTAAACCAATTATTTCCTGTGTACAAAAGCAGGTACTGTACTGTAAGTTGAATTCACAGAGTTTACATAGCATTTTTAATGACTTACTTGACTTTCAAGTAAGCTGGAATATACATTTAATTTTACAGGACTCTGAACAACTGCATGTCATCTGTACTTTTCCTCTTAGATGGAGGCCAAAGGCTGTGTATTCACCATGAGCATGCAGAGCAGCTAGCAAGGACCAGGTGTGCCTCCAAACAGTAAATGCAAAAGCAAGTCATCACCAGCCAACTCAAACAAACAAGCCAAAATATGCAAGAGGCAAAATAAACAAACCAACTAACAAACAACAAGATTCCATTCTCCAAATATGTTTCATTTTTGGACCCCAGAGTAGAGTAATTATATCATAACTAAATGCTTCTGACCTATCTTCTAAAAAGAAGTTTAGGTCAATATCTTTAATCAGCCTTCCTAAGACTCTTTGAATACACATTCTGAAAATCACAATTAGTTCAAAAAGAAAAACCAACCCTTTCTTGGTCCAAAGTTTTCAAACTTGCCTGCAATCACGTTAACTGGAAAAGTATGGCATTTATGGATAGGAAGCTGAAATTTTTTTAAAGCAAAAAACCCCACCTGGGCAGAGAGCTATAGGCAAAAAAAAAAAAAAAAAAAAAAAACCCTCCCAAAAACTCACAGCGGATTTTTCTATTTGATTGAATCAAATATCTGCCAAGTTCAACCCACCCATTTCTTTTCTGATGCTTCTCTACTTTACATTGTTTGTTATGTTTTATGTGTTTTTTTATTGTTAGCCGCCCAGAGTCCTTCGGGAGTGGGGCAGCTTATAAATTTTAAAAATAAAAACAATAAATAAATGAGCCAAAGGTAAAGCCAAGAATTCAATGCCAATTTGCTTTCTCTGGGTAGAATACCTGTAACCACAACAGGTGCCAACTTTTGATGGCATTATGTAACAAACTGCAAGCAAGCACCCCCTAAATTACCAATGGGTTCCTTCCCTTCTCATGAAAGCCAGCAACCTTTATATTTCTGCACCCACTCTAATTCTCAACGCCAGCCGCAAATCCTTCACGGCAAATATTACCCAGAAAGGAACCTGCATTGCATACTATTGCAGAGTAGAGCATTTGAACAGTTACTAGGTTCAGGGAAGACAACCTGAAATGCACTGCGCTTGCGGCTAGAACCAACACTATGACGCTGCTTACACAAAGCAAAAGCTTACCTGTGTGGGAGTTTGCGTTATTTCTTGCTATCGGCAAATGCCCACCTTTCAACAATAACAACAAGAAAAAAAAATATGCCAGCCAGTATAGACACTCCTCACGTCTACTCTTTCTATGGGAAGACCAAATTCAAGGGCCATTCTGGCCCCAAAGACACACACACACACACACACACACACACCACACTCACCACACTTACAAGCCACACAGGTTACCTTTCGCCTGACAGTCTGCACAGTATCTGTTCTCTTCTTCCAACAGTAGGCTGGTAAGGACAGCCTGGTATCTGTCCACATCCCGCACGGATTTCCCTGTCATTGCAGATCCAAGCTGGCTCCGGAGAAGTGCAAAGAAATAAGGGGAGGGGGGGATAATGTAAAGGGAGGAAGACCCTTTCCTTCCTCAATGCTTGCAAGGAGCGCCTCTGGCCATGCAACTCAGAGAGAGGCTAGAGAGAGAGAAAGTCAAGAACAGGCACCCAGGGCTTCCCTACTCCCTTCTACATAACCAGTGGTGGCTGCTTGAGAAGATAACCTCCAGGCAGGATTTCCTCTTTCGGTTCTCAGCAGATGCTCTGCTCCTCCTCCTCCTCCTCCTCCTCCTCCTCCGAGGTTGCCCCACAGCCTTGACAGCAGCCTGAGCGCTTCTCCGTTGCCTTCATGTCAACGCCAGACCCAGGCTGGCTGGCACAAGGCAGGTTGGTGGAGGTTTCCCCTGCAAAGCCCTTTCTGGGACCCCCAGATGGCAGCCCCCCCCAGGGCAACTCCAAGAGGCCGAGCCCCCTCCTCTTGCCCAACCTGGGGGTCTGCAGGGTCAGGATCTCCCACCCCCTCTTTTGCAGGACCCCCACCCCGACAAGCACAGTGGCCCCCTTCTCCTCTCTCCACCACCCAGGCCTGGGGGGGGGACCCCAGGGCACCCCCAAATCAGTGGGGACGTGTCCCCTCCCCTCCAGAGAAGCCCCCTTCTAAGGTGCCCCCCACCCAGGCAGGGTCCCTAAGACCCAGCTTGGGACCCCCAGCCTCTGGGAGAGACCCCGCCCCAGCAGGACAAAGGAGGAGACCGAGGAGGAGCGCTGCCCCCCCAGGCTGCCTTCGCCCCCCCCCGCACCCCACTTTTCTCCAAACACCGCCCTCTCCCCCCAAATTGGCCGCTCCCAACCTCCTAGGGTCCTAAGACGAGCCCCTCCACAGCCCCCATTTGACTCAGCCTGGGAGTCTAAATAAAAGAGGAAGGGGCGCTCAGGAAGGGAGACACCCCCCCCGGCCCCCCCTCTTCAATGCGCGGGGGAAGGAAGGAGAGAGAGGAAGAAAGGAGGGAGGGAGGGAGAGAGGGAGGAGCGCGCAGGCGCCCGCCTACCCGCCCGCGTCTCCAGGCAGCGGCTGACCACGGCTCCTCCCCTCTCGCCGCCTGGCGCCGCCCACCGGCAGGCGCACGCGCCCTCTTTTCTCCTCTCTCTCTCTCTCTCTCTCTCTCTCGGCCGCCGAACGCGGGCGTAGGCGGGAAAGCGAGGGGGGCGTGGCTTGCCCGTTAAGGCCGCCTCCTTCCTGAGGCGAGAGGGCGCGCCAGCCATGGAGAGAGAGAGAGAGAGAGCGAGAGAGAGAGAGAGAGAGAGAGAGAGCCAATCCGAGGTCCAGGAGGAGGGCGAGGGGCGGAGCGAAATAGGCCCGGAAGGGCTAGGCCATGAATGGAGGAAAGGATGAATGAAAGAAGGCGCGAAGCGAGGGGGGAATGTGGGGGGGAGGGGCAAACGGGAAAAGTCCGGGCTGGGGGCGATGGGGGGAAACAGACCCGGACATTTCCGGTGGTAGGGAGGAAGCCTGGAAGGGAAAAGGACTTTCCCTGAGCAGGAAGGCCTGCGAGCTGGCTGGAGTGAGCACCTGGCATCTCCAGGTACGGCCGGGGAAGCCCTGGTGGACGGTGCCTGGCAGGGTGAATTGTAAGCTGCTTATTATCTCTTGCAGAGAGAACCCTGGAGGCAAATGCAAATCTCATTTCTGGGAACTGTGTTGGCCACTGAGGGGGAAGCTGAGAGCTGGCCTTGGCAAGAAAAACCTTGCAAGCCCCAAGAATAAAATGTGCCCCTTTTAAACAGAAGAATCTTAAAATGGCTGTGGAGCTACCTTGGGCCACACTTGCCTGATAAAGAGAAATATGTGCTCCAAGATAAACCTGCAATTGCACCTCAAGATATTTATAAATATGTACCTGGTCTGTTGGGCTCCCATTAATTTGCCATTTATGTAACCGATTGTTGTTTTGTGCAAACACTAGCACGTTTCGTTTTTGACTGCAAATTGTTCTTTTCGGCAAAAGGATGCAAAATGTTTTCAGTGCCCTTCTCCTTCGCACCTGGGAGTCAAACAGAATTACTACGTGATTTGCTGTGCTGTGCTGTGCCTCATTGCCTGACATGCATTTTTTTTTTTTTTGTATTCTCGCCTCCCTCACAGAGGGGAGAGATTGCTTGGACAAGCTACTTCTTTCTAAATTGCTTTACTTTGCCCCATTAGTTAATTAGCACTTTTGAAGGTTTGCCCTTTTGCTCTTTTGTAGGGCAAAATAGCTCTTTTGCTATTTCCTTTGGTATCCTAAGCTGCTAGGCCAGAAGCAGACTAAGCTTACTGGTGCCAACGGTTTTCCTGTTGTGTGCTTGCTTACTCTCTTGTACTTTCTTCCTTTTCAATGAATGTAAATGCAACGTTGATTTTTCCCTTGCTAATAATCCCAGAACAGAGATGAGGATTGCAAAGGGTGGGGTGAGCGGGGGAAAAGGGCTATAATAGTTATCCCTTTTTCCCAGCTTCCCCATGAGTCAAGTTCTGGAATATGAACCTTTCCACCATTAGGGCTCACCCGGCTAATTGGGGCTGTACCTTCCTGACATCGTAAGAATTAAGGGGCAATGTCTTAATAAACCTCTTTAAGCTGTACGGGTAGTCTGTGACTTACAACAGTTCATTTAGTGACCATTTGAAGTTACAACAACACTGGAAAAAAGGGACTTAAGACCATTTTTCACAAGTAAGACCTTTGCAGCATCCCCATGGTCATGTCATCAACATTCAGATGCTTGGCAACTGACATGCATTTATGATGGTTGCAACGTCCTGGGATCACGTGATCCCCTTTTGCGAACTTTTGCCTGGCTGAGGAATTCTGGGATTTGAAGTCCACGAGTCATAAAAGAGCCAAGGTTGCCTACCCTTGCACTAGACCCAACTGGCTCAAATAGTAATAGTATTAATAGGAATAGGAATAGTAGTCTGTTACAGAGAAAATTGGGTATGAATGGAATATGATAGTCATTATATTGACTGTAGCTGTGTGCTCATTCAATATATTAGCCTTCTTTAACCGTAGCTTGTTGAATAAGCTATCAGTGGCTAAGTTCATGCAATACCAATACACTAAATGAATGGCACTCTTAATGCATTGTGTGAACTCATACATAAAAGAAAAATAATAACAATAATATTAAATGTACACTATTTGTGGTTACTTGTGTGACTGTGCAAGTGATGTATAGCCTAATCTTGCAGCTTCAAATCTCTCTAGTGTCAATCACTGTGACCAATGTACCATAACTGGAATTTGGTAGCTGGCAGCTCCACGCTTTCCCATCTCCTCCTCCTCTCTCCCTTTCTAAATATTTGCCTGCTTCAACTCCCGCCTGCAGTCTATGAGAAGACCTGGGTGATAGAATAGCCTCAGTCAGTGGCCCTCCCCCTTTCCCCAAATGCTAAATATTAATGTTCCCACCTCCCTGACTTTCTCCGCTCCTCTTAGCTCTTTTCATTCAAAGGCTGGCTGTGTCCCAGCCTGAAGCTTCTTGATATGGCTCGATTACTGGAATTGTGCCTCCTCCAAAGCTTTGTCTTCTCCTTAGGGCAGTTGGTAAGTTCTTCTTTCTTTCTTTTTTTTTTGGAAATGTATTGGGGGAGACATAGAAGGTGTAGCTGATGACCTGACAGGGAACGTTTGGGAAACAATGTCGATCCTTGTTGAGGATGCAGTGTTGATAAAAGAATGGGTCAGTGCAAATGTATATATCTCAACATCCTTTTCTGCATGCCTTAGAATCAGTATTGTGTCACTGGAAAGCCCTGGGGATTCTCATACTGTGAGTTTGATTGTTTTTGTTTTGTGTTTCTGTGTGTTTTGGGGGTGAGAGGAGAAAATTCTGTAGATCTAGTCCATCTTGGAAGTTGGTGTCTTCTGACTTAATGGACTACGTTTCTTTAGGTTTCAGTCTTTATATGCGTTCGAGATGGCGGCAGTCTCTATGTGCTCTTGGTTGGGAATAAGTTCCATTGAATTCTACAAAGTTTGCTTTTAAGCGGATGTGCACAATCTCACTGCTACGGTGAAACTTTTAATCAATCGGGTGGATAAACTACTTCTCATTTAGTGGGAAAGAAGTCCCAATAAACTTTACGGAGCCAATTTTGAGTCCTAAAATATCTGCATAGTCCAGGGAAGAATCTAGGTAGGTAAGACGGGTCTCCATCCAAAATCTGGGTTGGAGAACCAGTCCCATCAAAGAGGCAGGAAGGATGGTGGTGACGATGGGGTGAAATTAGGATGAACTTATTTTGGAAAGCCATAAAAACATCACTTTTAGAACAGGATGGTGCTGACTTTCTTATCTGTTCCCCAAAGGCAGAACAGGGGATGAGAAAATACAGGAGGGCTACAGTTTTCAATGTTTTCTCTACACATACCTTCTGCAATTCAACAAAAAACATGGAGTCTCTGTCCAGTGAAATTACTATCTTCCGACTGCAGTTTAGAAGCAAGTTGGCTGTTGCTTTGATAGCAACCAAGAGGTTGGAGTCAAATTAAGATTGCATTACATTTGAGTTCAAAAGCAATCTTCTCCAGGAGGAGTAAGGAATATGAAAGTTACTGCTTTCAAGAAAGAGAAAGTTGGTTTCAGGATATCTATGCCCATTTATACGATGCCTTCAGTCCCTGCTAGAATTGGCTGTTGCTTTCTAAAAAGAATAAAGTACTGTTAGGTAGCCTTGGAAGGACAAAGAGGGCCATTCTCTCATCCAATACCTTCTGGAAACCTTGACTGCAAAGGTGGTATTTTAAGTTCAGTAGTTCAGTTTTTCTTCTTGGAACTTGCAAGCATTCCATACTCAAAATGTCACCTTTAAATATATTTATTCATTTAAAATATTCACACAGCTGCCCATCTGCCAACCGACTCTGGGCAGCTCCCAACCAAAATTAAGCAAAAGAGGAAATATGAAAACCGTTTCCTCAACTTTTTGAGGGAGGTAGGCATTAGGTATTTATTTGAAACTTGTGGCATTTTGATTACCCTTGAAGGGAGATATTCTACGATACATGGCATTAATTAAAGGATTGAATTAGGAGTGAAACATTCTAGCTGATGACCTCCCAAGGTGAAACTTGAGAGACTTGTGCCTATATTTTATGACAACTTGTTCTTATGTCTTATGATATCTTGGACCTCATTTTAGCAATTTTGCTGCCCCCATCCGTATACATAAAATCATGTTTATGCTGGAAATAAATTGCTTTAAATTCTTAAAATTTAAATTTAATTTCAGCTCTAATTTAACTTAAATTCAGTTTGTCTCAGGAAGGTATTGACTGTGCAGTCTTCTAGAGGTCCATCGTGGTTCCTTGTTTGCAACTCATTTCTGTTTAGTCTACATATCTGTAGACAAGCATGCAAACGTCTCTTTTCAAACCAAGAGAATCAAGGAGAGACAATTATACTTTGCTTTGACATGTCCCCAAACAATTAGGATTCTTAACCCGGCATTTCCCCCTTATTCTGCAAACAGGTTAAAGGTGAAAGACACAAAACTTTCCAAATGGGTTCTCAGTACAAGTAGGTATGACATTTTAGATTTTGTCCACATATCTACACTCTAGAAGACTTAAAGATGTTCAATGATGGGGCAAACTAGGGTTGGAAGTCTATCTATTAGATGCAGGGGTTCTCAACCTTGGCAACTTTAAGACTTGTGGACTTCAACTCCCAGAATTCCTCAGCCAGCTTTGCTGGCTGAGGAATTCTGGGAATTGAAGTCCACAAGTCTTAAAGTTGCCAAGGTTGAGAACCCCTGTAATTAGAGATATTTCAACAGAGGCTGGAGATCCTTTGCCAGAGTCTGTAAGAGCAAATCCAGTATTGAACAAAGAAGGGTCCCCATGACCTTTAGATCTTTCTTAATCAGTGAATCTGTGGAAGTAGATCCCATGGAGTCTAACAAGAGTAAGCATGATATGCCCAGAAGGCAATAAGAACTGTTTTGAGTCTTTTTTGTTACGTGGTAACGTTGATTTCTTTTTGCCTGTCCTTTAGAGTAGGTAAAGTAACAGAATAACAATAACAGAATTGGAAGGGACCTTGGAGGTCTTCTAGTCCAGCCCCCTGCTCATTTCAGACAAAGGGTTGTCCAATTCCTTCCTAAAAACCTCCCAGTGTTGGTGCACCCGCAACTTCTGGAGACAAGCTGTTCCACTGATTACTTGATCAAGAAGCAGACACAAGCAAAGATTTCAGGAATGCTACTTTTCTGTTATAGGATCCAACTTGGGAATCTTGAAAGCCTACCAGAATGTCAGTCTATCTGCTCTTATTCCAAACGGAATCAATGTGGAGTTACTTTGAGTTTCTTTCTCGTGTCTTCTCCTTTCCTGGGACTGAGTTTTCATTTAGTTTTTCATTTAGCTTCAGACCTCCAGGGCCTCATCAACTATCAGATAGTCCGAATTCAGAATATATTTGGCGGTCCGAATTCAGAATATAGTTGGCCTCAGGCAGTAGTCTTCAAACTTGGCAACTTTAAGACTTATGGACTTCAACTCCTGGCTGGCTGAGGAATTTGGGGAGTTGAAGTCCACAAGTCTTAAAGTTGCCGAGTGTGAAGACCCTGGCCTAAGGGGTTCCCCACAGGTCTGCTCTGGGTTGCAGTTTGCCCTTCAGTCCCCATCCTTGCACAGCCCTATAGATTCCAGCTCCTTCTAGGAGAAAAGGTCCCAGCAACTGCAATCCAAAGATCCTTTCCATCACCCATATCTCTATTTTATCCCCTCTTGTCTTGCAGTTGTGGAAGAAATGCCACGGGTTCAGCTCTTCTTCTCTTTTCCTGGGGTTCTTTCCCTCCACTAAATCACTTTTTCTTTCTTTCTTTCCTTAGCAAGGTCCGCCAGGAGAACCTGGGCCACGGGGCCCTCCAGGCCCACCCGGTGTGCCAGGATCGGACGGCATTGATGTGAGTCCACCACTGAGCTCAGGAGCCGAAGCACGCAGGGAGAGCACCTCTGCGCACAAAGATGGGCATTGTATCTAGAAGGAAATGCAAGGCTGTGTCCCTCCCGTGTGGCCCAAGGTTGCAAGGAGGAGGGGGAGGAGCTGCTGTTGGCTTATTCTCTCCCCTCCCCAACTGGCTTCAGCTGCAAAATTATCCAGAGCCAGCACACCCTATTTTTATTTTATTTTTTGCAGGGAATTTTGCAGCAAAATTGGGAGAGCAGCAGGAGGGGAAGTTTGCGATTGGCCCTCAGCAGCCTTCATTCGTTTACTGGTTTTTAAGCAGAAGCGTTAACTTTTTTGTTTTTTCCCCAAGTGAAGGTAGAAAGGATGCTGTGACTGTGGGAAAATATTCCTGCTGGTTACTTTTGGCAGATGGAGTGGGGGGAGAGGGAGAAATGGGGTGGGGAAATAAAACCGAACCAATTTGCTAACTTGGAGATAAAATGTGCAACCTGCAGCCCCTGTCTTAAAGAGAGCTGGAGTCTAATGTAACCCGTCTCTCTTTCCTTTCTTAGCAGTGGAACATGATTCATAGAGGTTTTCTCTCTGTGTATGTATTGGCAGTATATTGGCAATGTAGTCCTTGACTGACAGTGATTTATTTAGGGACCGTTTGGGGTTAACAACAGCACTGAAAAAAAGTGTTTTTCACACGATTGTTGCAGCATTCCCCACGGCCATGTGATCAAAATTCAAATCCTTGGCAATTGACTCGTATTTATGATGGTTGCAGCTACAAATATTCTCCTTTATTTGTAGGCTGAATGAGTTTGGATTGTTCAGGATCTGTTTTATTGGGTTTGCTGTCTCCTTAGAAGTAGGCAGAGCCTAACTCAGTGGTGGCAAACCTATGGCACGGGTACCAGAGGCGGCACTCAGAGCCCTCTTGGTGGGCACGCGCGCTGTCCCCCCCAGCCCCACCACCTCCCGTGGCCCCCTCCTTACCAGCAGCCCCCCCAGAGGAGAGTCACCCAGGGTGCAGCCTACATGCAGCAGTGCAGCAAGGACATGGCAGCTGGGCAGTGGGGACAAGATTCCGCCCTTGCACCCCATCGCCTGCAGATGATGCTGCAGGGTGCAGACAGAGGGCTTGGCTACCATGACACTGCTGGGCTGCCTGGACGATCTGTAGCGGGCCGTGGAGGCGGTGGATGGCCTTGCGGGCAGGAGAGGTGGGGTGGGGCAAGGACGAGGCGATTTTTGGGCACTCGGTCTCTAAAAGGTTCGCCGTCACTGGCCTAACTGTTGGTATTAGTATTTTCTCTGATGAGGCCTCCTAAAGCCCAGGGCCGCCTCCCTGGCTGCTCAGCTCCCTAGTCTCAGAAGCGTCCAGAAGAGGCCTTCTCTTGGGGTTGAATGGAAGGGTGAGAAGCCAGGGAAGCTGGAGACAAAATTGTACCACGAAAGGCGGGACGTCTTGCCCTCCCATCATCCCCCACGCGTCACTAAGCCAATGCAAGAACATCTCATCCCAAGACAATTTTCCCTGGATTCTTCACTCCAAAGGACATTTTGCAACCCTGGCAGATCTTTGAGCTTTGAGAGGGAAAGGGGCAGTCTCTAAATTAGATAAATAAACAAAATATTGCCGCTCCATCAGATGCTTTGTTTTTCCCAAAAGGGGGCTGAAAAACCATCAAACCGATTAATAATGACTGTTCTTTTTTTTCTCTCTCTCTCTCCATAGGGTGACAAAGGTCCACCCGGTGCAGCAGGTGTTCCGGTAAGCATGCTGACTTTGCAAGCCACGATTTGCAGGTTTCTTATGCCTACATTAATATACAAGGCTCAGGATATGGGGTATAAACGCCAGAGGGAGTCCTGCAGCTATTTTCAGGGTCTCGGTTTTTGTTAGGTGTTGCAAAACATGGTGTATTTTGAAGACACTCTTTGTGGACAACTAGAGTATAAGTAGTCCTTGACCTGTGACCAGTTGCTTGGCAACCATTCAGAAATTATGACGCACCTACCTTGAGCTACTTACGACCCATTTCAGATGATCGGGCTGCTTCTGTAGTCACGTGGCCAAACTTCAGGCGTGCGGGAATGCAGGTGACTTTAGGAGCAGGATCCTACAGTCATGTGACCGTGTTTTGTTTCCATTTTATTTTATTTATTTTGGCAAAACCAGGCCCATAATAAAACATGGGTTTGCTTTATTATACCAAAGCGTTTGTTTTATGACCACTGTGGTCACATAATAACTGCTGCAAAAAGGGTTGTAAAAGCAGGTCAGTCCCCTGATGCCTGATCCATTTTACAACAGTCACAACTTACAACCACAATGAGCAGGCTCCATTACAGTCATATGGCAAGGAACTCTTTGGCCTGCAAACATTCGTTTAGGGACCAAAGTAACAACGGCGTTGAAAAAAAGTGACTCAGACTAGTTTTTACACCTGGACTGGACTAGGATAGGATAGGATAGGATAGGATAGGATAGGATAGGATAGGATAGGATAGGACAGGACAGGATAGGACAGGACAGGACAGGATAGAATAGCAGATGTCTTTAAATTAGACATTCCCAAATCCTGTAACCATTCTTCATATGTTTTAGTCTCCAGTACCCTAATCATCTTTTTGCTCTTCTCTGCACTTTTTCTAGACTCTCAACATTTTTTATATATTTCTTTACTTGGCTCTTTGGTCCTAGGCAGCTAATGAAACTGATAAAGATAGAATAGAATAGAATAGAATAGAATAGAATAGAATAGAATAGAATAGAATAGAATAGAATAGAATACGGAGTAGAGTAGAGTAGAATAGAATAGAATAACGGAGTTGGAAGGGATCTTGGAGGTCTTCTAGTCCAACCCCCTGCTCAAGCAGGAAACCCTGTACCATTTCAGACAAATGGTTGTCTAATCTCTTCTGAAAAACTTCTAGTGTTGGAGTGCCCACAACTTCTGGAGGCAGGCTGTTCCACTGATTAATTGTTCTAACTGTCAGGAAGTTTCTCCTTAGTTCTAGGTTGCTTCTCTCCTTGCTTAGTTTCCATCCGTTGCTTCTTGTCCTGCCTTCAGGGGCTTTGGGGAATAGCTTGACTCCCTCTTCTTTGTGGGCAGCCCCTGAGATATTGGAACACTGTTATCATGTCCCCCCTCACCCTTCTCTTCATTAAACTAGACATACCCAATTCCAGCAAATGGTCCTTGTGTGTTTTAGCCTCCAGTTCCCCGATCATCTTCTCTGCATATACATACAATAGTTTTTCAACCAACGTGCTGAGTTTAAATACGCTAATATATATTTCATTCCTAATCCTTTATTCTTTCCTCTAACCATCGGTAAAATAAGTCCCAAATTTGAAAATGTTCTGTTTCTTCTTTTTCTTTCAGTCTCATAGGCAATCTGTCCATCTCTGCGCATTCTAGTGTTTTTTTAATTATTTCTTCATCTGATGGTATTCCTTCATTTTTCTAATATTGCGCAAATATTATTCTTGCCGCTGTTGTGACGTGCAAAATCAAATATAGGCTTTGTTAATCTTTTACATCATTTCTTTGCAATAGGGAGCGAAAGGAGATCCAGGCCTGCCAGGACCAGATGGAGCTGCAGGAAAACCCGGAATAGATGTGAGTAGTTGCTCAACCCAAAATATGAACTGCATATTTATTTTATCATTGCTTTTTTCGTTCTGTCTTCCACCCTGATTGCAAAGTCTAACGCTCTATTCTTCTGGTGGATACCCACAAGCTGATCCCTCTAATTCTCCTTCTTATCTTTTTTTTTTCTTTTTGTTTGTTTGTTTCGGCAGGGCGTTACGGGAGCGAAAGGAGAGTCAGGCCGTGTTGGGGGACCAGGTCTCAAAGTGGGTAACTGTTTCTCCACTTGGGGGAGATATTTGGATGCATGTAATGTGTTGAAGTGACCAAAACGCCCGTCCTCAGCTTTGAAGAATGAAGGGGAAAGGTCCCTGTATCTAGTAGGCATGGAAGAAGAACTAGGTCAGTGATGGCGAACTTTTTAGAGACTGAGTGCCCAAACTGCAACCCAAAACCCACTTACATATCATCGTGTGCTGGGTGGGTGTGGCCCATTGGGTGGGCGTGGCTGCAGTGGTAAGGGCAGACTGGGTGGGACTAAAAAGTTCAATCAATCAATCAGTTCCAACTTTGCGAGATCTTTTTTTTCCCGTGAGAAGTTGAAATTGACTGATGGATTGAACCTTTTTTTTTCTTTTTGCCCACGGCAGTGGAGGCCTAAAGCGAAAAGGTTTTATAAAACCCAGCTGAAGGCCCAGGACTGGGGCGACGGCGCACGTGCCCACAGAGAGGGCTCTGAGTGCCACCTCTGGCACCCGTGCCATAGGTTCACCACCACTGAACTAGGTCATCACTACAACCTGGGACAGATTGCCAGGTTCTCTTCTTTTCCTTGCTGATGATGGCAGTTGTAAAAAAATATCCAGGCCTCTCAGATCAGGTTTGGGACCTTGATGCTCATTCTCTGCATCTGCCCCAAGAAATGAGCCTTTGGGAAACCTCCGAAATGGGAAGTTGAATCAAAAGTCTTGTTTTGTGGCTCCTGCTACATCATTTTTCTCTTTTCTGTTGCCATGATATAGGGCCAGCCTGGGCTTCCAGGACCACCAGGGCTTCCAGTAAGTGTCTGCTTTTATTTGCACGTGCCGGATGAAAAAATACCAAGCTAAAAGTCCTCCGTTGTACACATTAATGCCAGATTTAACGCAACTAGGGGAAATCACAGTTTTCCAATTGTGACCTGATCGTTTTGATCTAGCCGGCAAAAACCAAGCTTTTGTGTATGATCTTAGATTGTTAACCATACAAAAGATTGTTGGATTGTTAGATTGTTAAAGAGCCATGGTGGTTAGAATGCAGTATTGTAGGCTACTTCTGCTGACTGCCGACTGCCAACATTTTGGCAGCTCGAGTCTCACTCAAGGTTGAGGAGATCAATCCCGGCTGCTCTTTAGAAGGCCAGATCCTGAAGTTGAAACTCAAGTACTTTGGCCACCTAATGAGAAGGAAGGACTCACTGGAGAAGAGCCTGATGCTGGGAAAGATGGAGGGCAATAGAAGAAGGGGACGACAGAGAATGAGGGGGCTGGATGGAGTCACTGAAGCGGTAGGTGTGAGCTTCAATGGACTCCAGAAGATGGTAGAGGACAGGAAGGCCTGGAGGAACGTTGTCCATGGGTTGTGATGGGTCGGATATGACTCCGCAACTAACAACAACAACAAGGTTGACTCAGCCTTCCATCCTTCTAAGCTGGGTAAAATGAGGACCCAGGTTATTGGAGGCAATATGCTAACTTTGTAAACCGCTTAGAGAGGGCTGTAAAGCACTGTGAAGCGGTATGCAAATCTACGTGCTATTGCTATTGCTAATACATCACGCAAGAATGCAAATTTCTCTGAACCTGGAGAAAAGCAGAATTTTCTGATTTATTTGGCAGCGGGATCCCCGAATGGAGCATAGAAGTGGGCTCAGGTTTTGCCCAAACCCCTTTTGGTCTCAGAACAATCCTATGGAGAACTAGAATTGAACCGTAAATATCTAATGCAGTGCCACTAGGCCCAGCTCAGATCCCAGAGGTATTGTTACAAAATTAAGCCATGGGTGGCTGCAGCCAGGTAATTAATTTCCCTCCTGCCATAGAAATGTTTCATGGTTGGCCATGCCCAGCACAGTGATAATTTTGTGAGAGTCCCTCTAATACAGTGTTTCTCAACCTTGACCATTTTAAAGCATGTGGACTTCAACTCCCAGAATTCCACAGCCAGCATTGCTGGCTGTGGAATTCTGGGAGTTGAAGTCCACATGCCTTAAAATTGTCAAGGTTGAGAAACACTGCTCTAATACGTTCTCAACTTCTACACGTGTGCCATTGTTGAAAAGCTATGACCCCCCAATTCAGTGAATTCTGATTGGAGAAAAGCAGGATGTTTTATGACTCTTGGAAATTTTGGCGCCCATGCTACAGCGCTTAATTTTTCAGCAGTGGACCTGCATTGAAAAAATGACAACCTATTGTATCTTTCTGTTTCAGGGACCCGGAGTTCCAGGGCCTCCCGTAAGTGTGGCTTGTGACATGTTGGGTTAGACTAGTGAGAGGTAGTGTGTGCTTGATGACAATAGAGAAAAAAAAATTGCTTGGTTCTCATTTAAATGCAAAATAATCAGGTACTCCTGAACGATGACCATTCAAAATGACGACGGTGCTGAAAACTGTGGCTTGTTATCGATCCTTGACTGTCACAGCATCCCCATGGCCACCTGATTACATGAACCGGGCTCTTGGCAACTAACATGCATTTATGACGGTTGCCATTTCCCAGGGTCACTTGTGACCTTCCCAGCCAGCTTCCAACAAGCAAAGTCAAGTGGGGGGAGCTGGATTTGCTTAACGACTGCCTGGTTTACTTAACAACCGCAGTGATGCCCTTAACAATCGTGGCAAAAAAAGGTCATACAATCAGGCACGACCCGCACAGCACAGCACAGCACAGCACAGCACAGCACAGCACAGCATAGAAAATACGGAATGGAATGAAATAGAATAGAGTAGAATAAGAATAGAATAGAATAGAATAGAATAGAATAAGAATAAGAATAGAATAGAATAGAATAGAATAGAATAGAATAGAATAGAATAGAAAATATGGAATGGAAGAGTAGAGTAGAGTGGAATAGAACAGAATAGAATAAGGAATAGAATGGAATAGAATAGAATAGAATAGAATAGAATAGAATAGAATAGAATAGAATAGAATAGAATAGAATAGAATAGAATAGAAAATATGGAATGGAGTGGAGTGGAGAGTGGAGTGGAGTGGAGTAGGGTAGAGTAGAGTAGAGTGGAGTGGAGTGGAGTGGAGTGGAGTGGAGTGGAGTAGGATAGAATAAGAATAGTATAGAATAGAGTAGAGTAGAGTAGAGTAGAGTAGAGTAGAACAGAACCAGAACCCTAACTCTAACCCTAACCCTAACCCTTTGCTCAAGGCAGGAGCCTTAGACCATCCCAGTCAAGTGGTTGTCCAGTCTACACCCTGCAAGGATGTTAGGGCAGCATCTAGATTTGCATAAGGAAATATGGCTTTTGCCATATTTCTCCCATGGCAGCCATTGTGTGGGTATATTTGCTACCTTCTTTGATGTGCTCCTGGCCCAAACGATTTGCTGTCCCTGTTATAGATAGGCATGATCATAATGCAAGGTTGGTTTTAAAGGATCATGGCTGAGTAACACGGGATCTGTCTAGCACGTAGAAGTTTGCAGCATCAGTTCCTGCCTCCAGGTAGGACCAAGAAAGACACCATACTGAAACCCTCAAAAGTTACCAGGCTAAGTGAAATGAAACTCTTGTATGATAACAGGCAGCTTTCCGTCTTCCTATCACCCAAAAGAAGAGCCCTCTAGTCTTCGTTTTGGAGAGCTTCCAAAATATGTCTTTCATTCTTTAACCAAGCAAATCTTTTCTGCCAAGGTGAAAAGCATGGTGAAATACGAGTGTCCTTGTTCTGTCTTATTCTTTCATCTAGAACACATATGATGAAAATAAAGCTCCCCCCTCTCTTTTTTCATGTCTCAGGGACCCCCAGGTCAAGTTGGACTTCCTGGAGAAATGGGACCTTTGGGACTTAAGGTGAGGGTTCAGTTGAGATACATGCCTATTCCTTGGGGTGACCGAGTTGTCTAAAAGTGTTCTGGAAGCAGGTTCTGGGTACATATTAAAGAATGATGAGGGTCCTTGTAGAAAAAAGATAGAAAGATGGATATGGAATGGATGGATACAATATTGGTCGGATGGATGGGTGGGTGGATAGGTGGGTGGGTGGATGGATAAGATATTGGATGGGTGGATGCTTATGATATTGGATGGATGGATGGAAGATAGAGCAGTGGTTCTCACCCTGTGGGTCGGGACCCCATTTGGGGTCGAACGACCATTTCACGGGGGTCGCCAAACAACGCAGTCCGCCATTTTTTCCCCCTTTTCCTTAGCTGTGCTACTCCCTTTTATTCTATTGGCTTTTGAAAGCCAATAGAATAGACTCTCTTGAATAGAGTCTAATTCTATTGGCTTTCAAAAGCCAATAGGAATTATCCAGGCTGTCTCTGCCCTGCTGAGCCCGCCAAAAGTCCCATTCTGCAAACGGTGCTGCACCGGTTGAGTAGTCCTCGACTTACGACCGGTTGGGGGTCGCGGCATTAAAAAGGTTGAGAACCACTGAGATAGAGGGATGGATGGATGGAAGAATGGATATACTATATATTGGATAGATGGAGCAATGGATAGCTGGAGGAATTGAGGGATGCATGGACATGATATTGAATGGATGGATGGAGGCGATTCAGAAACTTCTCTGGAGCTCTTCATTGGACAGAATGTTCCAAGGAGAGAGCAAAGTTTGCCAGAATGAGGGAACAAACAAACAAAGAATTTGTTTCCAATTTCCTAAGTCTTTTAGCCATGAAATTTAAAGTTGGTCGCTCGGTGGACATTGTCAGCCTGAATGTCTTATTTCATGGTGGATGTTGCCCATGCTCCATTATATTAAACAGAGGTAATAATGATGGCTAATGTACTTCATTCCAGGTCTGGAAATAGATTTCCTTGCTTTTTATCTGGAGACAAGATACATGATTCTTATATCAGGATATTTGTAGAAATTGTCCAGAAAATACTATAAATAAAAAAAATAATCTGATACAAAATATAATCTGGAGGCAACATGTATATGTAAACCTATATATAACTAAGTTATATATAGTTACTGCCACCATATGGCTGAGGACACTTGCATCTTTGAGACTGGCTCAACAAACAAGGAGAGAGAGAATGAAAGATTCAAAAAGAGACCCACATTAGAAATTTAAAAATGTAAGCTGCCCTTTCTTTTTTCCCCCCTCTTTCTTTTCCTACGATCAGGACTATGCATGCTAAATGAGTTAAATTAAATTAGATAATGCAAATCTTGTGTTCAGAATAGGGCGGTTCTGCATCCTGCATAATTTACCTTCTCATATCCGTATTCTAAAAATAAACACTGCACAAGTTATTCTGTTGTTGTTGTTTTAAATAAATCATCCATTCAGCAAAACTTTGCTCCATTCTGGGCAGAAGGAGGCAAAAATAAAGCAGAATTGAAGACCGTCCCTCAGAAATCGTTCTTTTCCCTCTCCACCTTGCTTAATCATTCCATTTTTTCCTTCCTTGTTTTCTTATCTCTTCATTCTCTGCACTCCTGGTTGCTTTTTTGGCTACCTGCTTCACGGTGTAGCTTAACACAGCTCAGGTAGCAATAGGAGAGCCATCCTAAGCAATATATCTCAACCTTGGTAACCTGAAGATGGGTGGACTTCAACTCCCAGAGTTCCCTAGCCAGCTAGCCCACACATCTTCAAGTTGCCAAGGTTGAAAAATGATGATTCTAAGAATTATGACTATTGGTACCCACTCCTGATGCCCATTGTTAAAGACTGTGGATGCTCACAATGGAAGTCTTGCTGGAGAAGTCGTGAGTGGGAGATTGTCTTTTGGACTTTGCTGCTGGAATGCTTTTGTGATTCCTCTTGTGTTTTTTTAGGGGGAACGTGGACCAGATGGACCACAAGGGCCTCCAGGACCTCCTGGAAAGCCAGTAAGTTCTTGTCAAGCTCCCCAAAACCAAGAAAGACACAGTGAGATTCTCCCAAGCAGATTACTTTATTGTTCCTTACCCATAGACAGAATCTTGACAAACTAAAGCACGCTAGCACCCCCTAAAGCAGTGTTTCTCAACCTTGACCATTTTAAGGCATGTGGACTTCAACTCCCAGAATTCCACAGCCAGCATTGCTGGCTGTGGAATTCTGGGAGTTGAAGTCCACATGCCTTAAAATGGTCAAGGTTGAGAAACACTGCCCTAAAGGCATATACCTCTGGGAACTATTAGGGAGGAGCCATCTTCCCCCTCTTTCTCTCATACAAATGATCTGAACTGAGTTGTCTCTTGCTCCTCTAGAATGCAGCCCCTCCCACCTGGGAATCCAGTCTACATTCCCTCACAGCTCTGTTGCTACTGATTTGGCTGATTGACACAGCAGTTTGAGGATGAGTCATTTATAGATTTGAGAATAACATCTAGTGAACAACTCAAATACACCAACACCCGTGATGTATCCCAGAACTGAATTCAATCAATGTTTTGACCAGGCATGCTCATTCTTATGTCTGGCTATAAAATGGGTTATCAACTGATGTGCATATAGCCGTCACTTACTTCAGGGGAGGCTTTCACTGTTATATGAAAGGTGGTGGGATCTTTCCTTTGTATTTCTCCTGTTTTCCATTGCCAGTCCCTCCATCATTTCCATTTATCAGAAAGAAAAAAACCCATTAATGGAGAAAGATGAATCAATTTCATGGTGCCTTTTAATCGGAAGTGCTAAAAGCCTTCGGTCTGGATAGTCATAGCCACAAAAACTTTTCTTTCGGTTAATAATGAAAAATAACCTTTTCTTTCTTTCTTTCTTTCTTTCTTTCTTTCTTTCTTTCTTTCTTTCTTTCTTTCTTTCTTTCTTTCTTTCTCCTTTCTTTCTTTCTTTCTTTCTTTCTTTCTTTCTTTCTTTCTTTCTTTCTTTCTTTCTTTCTTTCTTTCTTTCTTTCTTTCTTTCTTTCTTTGTTTCTTGTGAGAATGTTCTGCATTTTTGACGGCTTTCTGCTTTGTCATGTTTCCCAAGGGCCCAATTGGTCGCATCCAAGGAGCTGAGGGCAGTGCTGATTTCGTGGTAAGGAGGACTGCATTAAATTCCCATTTCAAAACAAAGCCCTTCGTGTTTGGGGCAAGTTGAAAAATAGTAATAAGAGGCAAAGAAACTCTTCTCATCTTCCCATGCTTGGTTTTTCTTGCACTTCGTGATTGTTATTTTGACTTTTATTTTTCATAGCTTTACCATACTGGTAAAGCTGAAGAAACGTCCTCTGATCTTTATTGGAGGCTGGCAAATGTCCTAAGCCAGTCAGAGGCTATTTGGAACATAAATATACTAATGTAGCTTTCGTTGGTTTGAGTTCGCATTCACACTTTAATAGAAGGAAATTAAGGTGGGGGAGGAAAGAGAGCACAATCAGGCTTGCCAGTTTGTGTTGTTGTGGCCATTCTCAATAAAAAAAAAAATAGCTTTAACCCTGATGTGGAGTTGATTCCCTGGCCTGGCCTACCTAGTGGGAGGTGAGATCAGTCTTGCCTATCTGATTGTGCCGTATCTTCTCCCCCTTGTTATATCTGTGTGAATGAGAGAGGTGCCTGTTTAAGCCTCTTTGGTATATTTCCTGTTTATGATGGACTTTATGCTTCACCCCTCATCGCTTGGGTAATGTATCTTATATATCTCATGTTGCCTCCTTCCTTCCTTCCTTCCTTCCTTCCTTCCTTCCTTCCTTCCTTCCTTCCTTCCTCCCTCCCTCCCTCCCTCCCTCTCTTCCTCCCTCCCTCTTTTTCCTTCCTTCTTCCACTATTTCTTCCTCCATTCACTCAGCCTCCTTCCTTCCTTCTTTCCTTCCTTCTTTCCTTCCTTCCTTCCTTCCTGCCTCCCTCCCTTCCTCCCTCCCTCTTTTTCCTTCCTTCTTCCACTATTTCTTCCTCCATTCACTCAGCCTCCTTCCTTCCTTCTTTCCTTCCTTCCTTCCTTCCTCCCTCCCTCCCTTCCTCCCTCCCTCTTTTTTCTTCCTTCTTCCACTATTTCTTCCTCCACTTACTCAGCCTCCTTCCTTCCTTCCTCCCTCCCTCCCTCCCTTCCTCACTCCCTCTTTTTCCTTCCTTCTTCCACTATTTCTTCCTCCATTCACTCAGCCTCCTTCCTTCCTTCCTTCCTTCCTTCCTTCCTTCCTTCTTTCCTTCCTTCCTTCCTCCCTCCCTCCCTCCCTCCCTTCCTCCCTCCCTCTTTTTTCTTCCTTCTTCCACTATTTCTTCCTCCACTTACTCAGCCTCCTTCCTTCCTCCCTCCCTCCCTCTTTTTCCTTCCTTCTTCCACTATTTCTTCCTCCATTCACTCAGCCTCCTTCCTTCCTTCCTTCTTTCCTTCCTTCCTTCCTTCCTTCCTTTCTTCCTTCCTTCCTTCCTCCCTCCCTCCCTCCCTCCCTCCCTCCCTCTTTTTTCTTCCTTCTTCCACTATTTCTTCCTCCACTTACTCAGCCTCCTTCCTTCCTTCCTTCCTCCCTCCCTTCCTTCCTTCTCAACAAAGTGTCTCTTGCACTTATTGCTCTCCAAATGGTTACTTGGTTGAAAGATCCCTCAGATTTTTCTTTTCTTCCTTTCCCTTCATGGTCTGCAGTGTCCAACCAACTGCCCACCTGGACTCAAGGGGCCTCCAGGTTTACAGGGGTTGAAGGTAAGGATTTCTCTGCTCCACGATCTGTGGAGGTGGCTTTGTTAGTGATAATTGCCATACAGATTTTATAATCATGAAGAGTTTCTCTAGGTTAAGCACCCATGGCTAAACTTAATTAGCTCCCACCCACAATTCTGACTCTTGAACAGCAGGAAATATGAATCTATATTACTGAAACTGCCAGTAATATTAATACAGATTAATATTTCCTGCTGTTCAAGCGTTAGCAGAAAAAAAATAGCTATATCATGTTGGGAACAAGCAAGGGACATTGGTTAATTTTATTAATACTGTATTGTTTTGATAGACAGATAGATGGACAGACAGACAGATGCAATTTTTATTGAAACTTTTGAACAAGATAAAAACTAATGCAAACTAATGTAAGGTAAGGAAGAAAAAAAATATAAAAAAGGCAAAACATGAAAGAAAAAAAAAAGAAATATAGGAAAGGGGAAAATAAGGGGAGGGAAGTAATAAAACATAAACAATATTTTTCATAACAGTTATAAGAAGAAACATATTTTAACCTCTCTCTCTTTAAAGTTACATCATGACTCTCTTCTTTCCAAAATCTATCTTGTCTCATCCCCAGAACCATAAATCACAAATTCATTTTTTTTCACTTTTACGTAAAATGTCCATAAGAGGCTTCCAGTCACCAATAAATGTAGGTAATGTTGTCAAAGAAGTCAAAGTTAATTTTATTAGTATCGTATTGTGCAGGAGACAAAAACCAAGTGACGCAATCTTCTCCTTTTCATATAACTCCAACCTCTTTCGTTATTACTAGCTAATAGTCAGCTTCCATTTTAATTAAAAGGGGCCTTCTCTAGCTTAGTTTTTTGTCTTTTTATTTGTTTATATATTTTTATTTATTTGTTTGTTTATATATCACATTTAGAGCCCACCCATCTCCCTCACAGAGCGACTCAGGGCAATGTGCAAGTAGGCATAAAAAAAAATAAAGGCTATATATAAAGATTAGACTAGAAGGCACTTAAAACAAGAATAAAGTATTTTAAAAGGTGGAGAGGCATTCAGCAGCTCCAGGGCTGCATTCTCCTCTTTGGTCCCCAAGGGAATTGGCAGAAACAGGTCTTCAAACATTTTTGAAAGGCCAGGAGAGTGGGGGGGGGGTGTCCACCTCACCTGGGGGGGGGGGAGAACGTTCCGAAGAAGGGGAGCAACTGCAGAGAAGGATCTCTTCCTGCACCCTGCAGGTCAGTATTCTTTAATTGATGAGGTTTACAACGTGCTCTGCCTGCCAGATCCAGCGGGGTGGGCTGAGATAATGAGTCAAAGATGGTTCCATAGGTGCCCTGGCTCCATGCCAGATGAACAGATTAATAGAATAACAGAGTTGGAAAGAATCTTGGGGGGTCTTCTAGCCCAACCCCCCTGCTCAGACAGGAAACCCTATACCATTTCAGACAAATGGTTGTCCAAGCTTTTCTTAAAAACCTCCAGCAAAGCAGCACACATACATTCCAGAGGCAGCCTGTTCCACTGATTAATTGCTCCACTGTTAGGAAGTTTCTCCTTAGTTCTAGGTTGCTTCTCTCCTTGATTAGTTTCCATCCGTTGCTTCTTGTCCTGCCTTCTGGTGCTTTGGATAGGTTGACCCTCTCTTCTTTGTGGCAGCCCCTCAGATATTGGAACGCTGTTATCACTTCTCCCCTCATCCTTCTTTTCGCTAGACTAGGCGTACTCAATTCCTGCCCAGCTACCACCTCAGAAGGAAACCAGCACCCAGTGCAGCTTGAGCTGCAGAGGTGTTACTTGCATCTTTCCTTTTATGATGGTGGTTGCTGACCCTGATGAATTGTAATCAAGGAGAGAAGCAACCTGGAACTAAGGAGAAACTTCCTGACAGTGAGGACAATTAACCAGTGGAACAACCTGCCTCCAGAAGCGGTGAATGCTCCAACACTGGAAGTTTTTAAGAAGAGACTGGACAGCCATTGGTCTGAAATGGTATAGGGTTTCCTGCCTGAGCAGGGGGCTGGACTAGATGACCTCCAAGTCCCTTCCAACTTTATTATTGTTATTATTAAGTCTGAATGTGCTTCCCTCCTCCTCTTAGTTGCATAAGAACTAGGGTGGGTCTTGTCTGAGTCACTTTCTCAGATTATAATTCTGGCCCACACTCCGATTTCTTTTATCTGACTGTTGTCTTGGTTGTGTCTCTTCCTTCTGTTCCTCAAGGTTCTTCCTTCTGTCCATTACAAACTGTTGATTGACATTTGTTTTGAAAGTTTGATTCGCTTTCCGTTTAGGGACACAGAGGCCGATCAGGAGCTTCTGGAGAGCCTGGAAGACAAGGCCGGCCGGTGAGAATGGAGATGCTTCACCTTCCCTTCGTTTTTGTTTTTTAACGGATTGAACATTAGCTAGGAAAGATTAAGGGGCTGTACTGTTTTCTCAGCGCTCTTGGGAAACAGTAGCTATGAAATTCCATCCCAAAATTTATTGCCAACCAAACTAGTGGATTAGCATGTAAGAAAGGCTCATTCAAGCCAACCAGGTTTGCCAGCTGAAGAACTCTCAATCATGTAACCCAATGTTTCTCAACTTTGGCTAGATTAAGATGTGTGGACTTCAATTCCCAGAATCCCCCAGTCAGCAATTCTGGGAACTGAAGTCCACACATACCTTAAACTGGCCACGGTTGAGAGGCACTAATGTAGCCAACCTTGCCTGCCTGTTAAACTTTGGGGGTATGTTGTATGTTAGCTTTCCTTAAACTGGTGGCCCCTGAGAACAGAGCAGCTGGCATTCCCAAAGTCATTGCCAACAGGATCACCGGCTCCATTTGACTGATAATTTAGAAGTGGTGTAATTCTGACAATGGGTAGGGTACCAGGGAAACCTAAATTGGCCTAAAGCAGTCAGGCTGACTTCCTAATTCTCTGATTTAAAGCGCATCTCCAGAAGTTTGTCCTTTCTACCACTTTGATACACGTCTGATTTTATTTCCTAGGGTCCAAAGGGTGATGTGGGCCTGTCTGGGGAACAAGGCATTCTGGGTCCTCCGGTAATGTATTTAATTCTTTCTACTTCTTAATCTCATTCCCTTGGCTCCCGAGATTTTATTACTCTTGTGCCATAGACCCTCCTGTAGCCTTATTCTCTTTTTCCAGTCTCCCTCCAAGGCTTGATAAGGACAAACAAGAAATGGGAAAAGCCGGAGATGTATTTTTTTTTTTTTTACTTTAGGAGCGTGACAAGCAAGCATAATTATTCAACTTTCTGACAATTTCTAAGCTTCCATATCTGATCATCTAGACGTGATCATTATGTACAATATAGGACATCTCTCTTCATAATTACCTGTGTTTTCCCCAAAATAAGACCACGTCTTATATTAATGTTTGCTCCAAAAGACACATTAGGGCTTATTTTCCAGCTAGGTCTTATTTTGGAGAAAATATATATCTGTCTGGCTGACGATCTTAACTGGGGCTTATTTTGGGGGTGGGGCCAATAATAATAATAATAATAAGACGACTGTGGCAAAAGCAAGCAAGGGTAGTACCAATAGTCATAGGCGCCTTGGGTACAATCCCAAAACAACTGGAGCACCACTTGAACACCATTGGCATTGACAAATTCACTATTAGTCAATTGCAAAAGGTGGCCTTACTAGGAACTGCTTCCATCCTGCGACGATACCTGTAATACCATCAAATATGCACATCTGCCTATCCCAGGTCCTGGGTAAGGACTCGATAGGTAGACAAAATGCCAAATCCAGTCTGAATATCTGGCTGACTGTGCGATGATCCATAATAATGAGGAGGAGGAGGAGAAGGAGAAGGAGGAGAAGAAGGAGGAGGAGGAGGAGGAAGGGACCTTGGAGGTCATTTAGTCCAACCCCTTGCTCAGGCAGGAGCATCCTGAAAAATCAGGCTAGGGCTTATTTTCCAGTGGATTCTTATTTTCAAGGAAACATGGTAGGTGCTGAGAGCTCATACATGCAAGTAATATAATTTTTATTATACCATATATCAGTTTTTCTCAAGACTGGTAACTTTAATGTGTGGATTTCCACTCCCAGAATTCCCCAGCCAGCCTGCTGATATATATATATATATATATATATATATATATATATATATATATATGTGTGTGTGTGTGTGTGTGTGTGTGTGTGTGTGTGTGTATGTGTGTATGTATATATATATATATATATATATATATATATATATATATACACATACATACATACACATACATACATACGTACATATATATATATATGTCCCATTCGTCATCTTCAGGCTGGTGCTTTCAGCTTCGTGCTTCATGCTCCTCGAAGCACGAAGCTGAAAGCACCAGCCTGAAGATGACGAATGGGACTTCGTCGAAACGTCGCCAAGACACTTCCAATTTTACGTGGGAGAAAACCCGAACGACCAAAGACCTACATACAAACACCCACGAAAACCTCAGAAAACATATATATATATATATATATATATATATATATATATATATATATATATATATATATACACATACACATACACATACACATACACATACACATACACATACACATATATTGATATTCCATCTCACAATAGGACAAACAGGGTCAAAGCAGGAAGGTCCCCTCATGGGAAGAAGATAGGTGGAAGTCAAGATGGTGGTCATGGCCACCCCATCCATGCCCTCTCCCTTTTTATGCAAACCGCACATTTTAAAATACGCCTTCAGTGACCCCTTCTGGGCCATGGGTGATGATGGTTCGTGGGATATCGTCTTCCCAGGTTGCAGATTACATAATCCATTCTTGGTTTACTTTTCTTTCCTAGGGCGCAGAAGGACCCCGTGGACATCCAGGAATGGCAGGGCCAAAAGGGGAGATGGTAAGTGAATTGAACCCTGGGGATTTGGGGATTGAGGTTACAATAATGCCATAGTGGTGTCCCGTGAGGTCTAATCCTACCTTAGACCTGAGAGTCCTCTGGGTGACTTTGGGGCCAGTCATTCTCTCTCAGCTCAACCCACCTTGCAGGCTGTTGTGGAGAAAGTGGGAGGAGGGAGGATGACTAAGTATGTGTCAGGCTTTGAATAACCCCTAAGCAGCAGGCAGAATAAAACCGGCTGAAACTTCAGATGTAACTTTTGGCTGTTTTCTTTTTTTTAGGGTCCTCAAGGTTACAAAGGCATGACTGGGAGTATTGGAGCTGTTGGTCCCCCGGTAATTTCTTTCTCTTTTATGTTCATTTCTCTTTTTTTCATTAATTACCCAGCCCCATGGGAAGAGAGAGAGGGGGGGGAGGGGGTCCCTATCTATTTTAGAAAGTGAGGGAGTGGAGAGAGGAAGGTGAATGGAGGGAGGAAGAAAAGAGGATTTATGAGGGGAGGGAGGAAGGAACAGAATGGAAGAAGGGAGGGGGTGAGTAAAGGAAGGTAAAGAGGGAGGGAGGGAGGGAGGGAGGAAGGAAGGAAGGAAGAAGGAAGGAAGGAAGGAAGGAAGGAAGGAAGGAAGGAAGGAAGGAAGGAAGGAAGGAAGGAAGGAAAGAATCCGTACTCCTTTCATGATAGCATTTTGAATTTGGGGGCGATCCCGAGAATTTCCATCCTAAAAACCCTCCTGTACCCATTTATAAAACCTGATGATCAGCATTCATTACCTCCTGTAAATTTGATTCTTAGAGAATATGGGATGCTTAAGTGTAAGACGCTAAGAAAAAGACGCAGGCATCTCTTGAGCAGAGGTTTGAAGCTGCAGGACACAGCTTGACAAACTCTGAGTTTATTACTTCTTATATACTTGTTACATACACCAGCTTAACCATTAGATGCTGACAAAGGTTTCTTCATTGGAAAATGTCTTCATGTAAGCAACTATTTTCTAGTAACACATTACACGGTCAGAGACCAGGTAAGAACAAATACAGGTAGATCAAAAGGAGAAAGAACTGACAAAGACAGGAAGAGATAGGAAGGAACTTAAGCATATTATCTGTTTAGGTAGGTGAGGCATTAAGTCAAAAGGGGATGACCTTCTGGCTGCTTCACCGGGACAAAGGGTATCAAAAGGTTATGAGGTTTGTGGGGGGGGGGGAAGCACGGCAGTTTGCTGTGTGTGCATTTTTCCCCACACTTAAGCAATTTTGAGACTAAGGTAAGATCTGAGCGATGGATTTCTTGGTCTGCAGCGCTCAAGGTTACAGCACGTGAAGTTAACTGGGCCCATCTCCAGTGCTGCTCACCTCTTAGCCATATATTTTCTCACACTTTCAGAATTTAAGAGTAATGGTGCCCAGAATGTCCCCATTTTCCTGACCTGGCAGCTTTTTCTGATGTGCTGGGATTATTCTAGTGAGAGCTCAGGAACTTCAGTTCCTGCCTCACGCGAAGCCTCAAAGAACCCAAACTGGTGTAACTGGTATGTTAAGCAAAAGTGGTCACTGGTTTGCAATTTGCCCATTATGCATATTGAGGGGCCACAGCCAAGATGGATTTGCTCAGGCCAATCCTGTCGCATAAACACTTTTACTCATTGTTTTCTCTGTAACCATGATTTAGGGTGAAGATGGTCCCAGGGGCCCCCCAGGACCAATTGGAGAGAAGGGAGAACTTGTGAGTAATTTTTTTCCCCCTGAAGAACTGCATTAAATCTTTGAAAAATGGAGCTCCATGCAAAAAGCACTTAATGGCACTCTACAGATAGTACTCAAGTTGGAGTTGACCCAAAACAGGAGTTTATGTCCCGGTTCTGATGCTCCTCATTCACATGACCAAACTTTGGGCGTTCAGCAATACGGCTGCTGTGGGACCATTTGCAGTATCCCACAATCTTGGGGCTGCATTTTTTATGACAGTTTTGCCAAAAATGGCCCTTCCAATTTCTGGCAAAACTGTGCCTGTAGCAAACCATTGGCTCACATAATGGCCACCGTGTTCACTTAACAACTACTGTGGCTGCTTTAGGACTACCACGTTTGTTTAACCACCAACTGCAAAAACGGTCATAAAGTCGGGTGACGCATGTGGTAACCGTTACGTCGTATGACCATAATGGGCAGGCTCCATTACAATTGCCTGTCCAGAACTACCTGTGGCGTAGTTAATTTATTTGTTCCTTCTCCATTCCTGAATGGAGAACTGAATAGCTCCCACTACACAATGGAGTAATATGTGTGTGTATTAGAGGTGGCAATTCTACTTCCTCTTTCTTTCAAGGAACTTGCAGAACTTGAATACTCTTCTGCAGGAAATACTCTTCTCCATTTATTTTTGGGAATTACTTATTGAAGTAAATAAAGCTGAAAAATAAGAGTTTTCAGAGCTGAGGCCTCTTTGACTTCCCAATCTGGATCTACAGTCCTGGGATGTCTGAGTGGTCTCTTATTCAAGAATTAGCCCAGTCCGGTCTTGTTTGTGTGTTCTGACGCCTTGATTCATGAAGCAATTAAAGCTCTGAACTTGGGAGATTAGTGTTCAGTTGATTTCCTGGACTCACCATATTCCCCCAGAATAAGACTCAGTTGTTGTTGGGTTTTTTTGCCTCCAAAATAGGCACCAGGTCTTATTTTCGGGGGGGGGATGTCTTTTCCCCTGGGTCACCTTGCAGTGGCGGTACCGACAGCCCAGTCGGTCCACTTCTTCTGCGGCCGCTTGCTGCCTCTCACACGTGTTGGCCCCCCCCCCGGCCTCCATTTCACCATCAGGGGCCTTCAGGAAAGACCTCTGCAGCCGAGAATGGAGCTCCAGATTGATGTGTGTCACCCCCGGCCTCCATTTTGCCATCAGAGGCCTTCAGGAAAGGCCTCTGCAGCCAAGAATGGAGCTACGGATTGATGCATGCAGTGCCCCCCGGCCCTTCTCGGTTCTCGGCTGCAGAGGCCTTTCCTGAAGGCCTCTGACAGCAAAACGAAGGCCGTGGGTGACGCATGTGAGTGGCCACACAAGAATTGGGGGTCAGGGCATGAGAGGCCTGGCTGTGACGGTAAGCAGGTATGGGGTATGTGAGGCAGCTCCACCCCCCCTGCCCTAGCTTGATTTTTGTTGTGTGCCTTACCCCAAAACTAGGGATTATTTTGGGAGTAGGGCTTATATTAGGCCTACCCCCCCAAAATCAAGCTAGGGCTTATTTTCAGGGTAGGGCTTATTTTCGGGAAAACACGGTAGTACATCGCAAGTACTTGTTAGTATTGTTAATGGTATAGGGCAGGAGTAAGCAACCTTGGCTCTTTTATGACTCATGGACTTCAACTCCCAGAATTCCTGAGCCAGCCATGCTGAGGGGAGGTTTCCAAGCTGAGCCATGCTGGTTCAGGAATTCTGGGAACTGAAGTCCACCCATCTCTGAGTGGCCAAGGTTGAGAAATATAGGCCTAGGCCAGGGGTAGGCAACCTTGGCCCTTTTATGACTCATGGACTTCAACTCCCAGAATTCCTGAGCCAGCTACGCTGAGGGGAAAGGGAGAGGTCTCCAAGCTGAGCCATGCTGGCTCAGGAATTCTGGGAGTTGAAGTCCACAAGTCCACAAGTCATCAAAGAGCCAAGGTTTCCTGCTTGAGCAGGGGGGTTGGACTAGAAGATCTCCAAGGTCCCTTCCAACTCTATTCGTGATGGTTGTTATACTAACAGAGCCTTTGCTTTCTTCTTTTTGAGGGTCCTCGTGGATTCAGAGGTTCTCAGGGCGAAATGGGCCCCAAAGGAACACGGGTGAGTACAATTTCTTTCCAGCCCAGCGAGATTTGGGAATAATCACCTAGGGAAGCTTGCTTAATTTTCCATTAGAGGTCAGAAATCATGTCTCACTCTTTTTTTCTCTCCTTCTAGGGGCTTCCTGGGATTGATGGCAAAGATGGATTTCCTGGCACTCCTGGGGTGAAGGTAAGAAGATGCCCTCAAGAAGTGCAACATCTGGCTACTCATGGTTAATCTTAGAAAGCTGAGTAGGGTCAACAGCAGCACATCTGGACGGAGAACCCCCATGACCATGTTAGTATGGGTGCTGTTTTTTGACCAGCCCTTCCATTAGCCCACCTTCACCTAGGGCAGGGGTAGGCAACCTTGGCTCCTTCATGACACGTGGTTCAACTCCCAGAATTCCTGAGCCAGCATGGCTCAGCATGGAAACCTCTCCCTTTCCCCTCAGCATGGATGGCTCAGGAATTCTGGGAGTTGAAGTCCACAGGTCTGCAACAGTCATAAGTTTGAAAAAACGTCATAAGTCACTTTTCAGTGGTGTGGTAACTTCCGACGGTCACTAAATGAATGTTGTAAGTCGAGGACTACCTGTATTTGCCATTCTAATAAGAGAGTTGGAAGGGACCTTGGAGGTCTTCTAGTCCAGCCCCCTGCTTGAGCATCATGTCAGACAAATGGTGGCCCATTCTCTTTTTGAAGAGCCCCAGAACTTCAACCTTAATCAGGAAGCTAAGATGGTCCTCACCATGGAGATGGAGGACAACTGAAAGTTCATCAGCTCCTCACGCTTGGCTACCTTACTCTTGAGGTTCTGGCATCTCTTAGACTTGTTTTATATGTATTGTTTCTTACTCCCTTCTATGAAATTATCTTACTGAGACTTCACAGCAGCCTGAAAGCTAGTCCAGAAAAAGGGATTTTCAGCTTAGCAAGACTTTACGGGACTGAATGTTTTAGAGACACGGGAAGAGAAAATCAAGTGGTAGCAATAGAGAAGAATATTTGTAGCTCAGGGTGGAACTGTGAGGTTCTAGGTGGCCTCTGCTAGACCCCTGATAGATTCCAAAATACAGCCAGCCGCTTAGCTCCAAAGTCATAAACCTTTCCCACTGAAAACTCAATCGCTTTCACGCAGACATGCACACCCCACAGCCACGTTGATTGAGACATAGCGACGTCCATTATTCCCTCTCTCTTTATTTTTTGTCATATAGGGAAGTGTGGGTCAACCAGGCCTTCCAGGGCCTCTGGGACATAGAGGAGTGGCTGTAAGTATCGTGTTGTTCCAAAATATGTTCCATCATCCCAAACTAGACTTGCATTGTGCCAAAGTTTAAAATCAAACACCTGCTGCTTAATTTTCTTCCAAACAACAACAATGACCAAAAAAAAAAAAAAAAAAACCAAAACCCAGCCCAAAGGCCGCAACATCTCTGGAAGCCTTTTTTGATATGAAATCACCATGTTTTTGTTAAAAATGGGCCTGGTATCTGCCCCAAATTGTAATTGCTGCAAATTGGCGATCTAATGGAAAATTATGTATTGTGGACAAGTTCTGGAAATCTCCTATCAAAAGTGAAAAGGCCAGACAAATGGGGAATTGTCGGGAATCGCTGCAGAAATGGGTTCCTTCCAATAAAACAGGAGAGTCACTTGTGTTCAGCGAAATAATTGCGTCTGTAATTGTTGCTGGATTTCAAAACACTGCTTATTTTTCCCAGGCTGGCAGAGGTTCCAAAGTGATGCCAGGGCATTGGGACAGGACAATTGGTAGAGTAGTTAAAAGCACTGGAATAATAATAAAAAAAACCTTCTGTTTCTGTTTAGAAACAATGCAGATGACCTTCGTCCAGATCTCTTCCAGGTCCTGGAAGGAAAAAAGATTTTCTGAAAATGTTGCCAAGAAAACGACAGGAATTTGTTCATGTAGACCGAGGGTATCTTACCTTGGCAACTTTAAGACTTCCCCAGGTGGGGCATTCTGGGAGTTGAAGTTCATAAGTCTTAAAGTTGCCACGATTGGACACCCCTGATGTAGACACCAGAAGTCAAGTCTGACTTGAAGGCCAAGTTTGGTGTAGTGATGGTGATGCTGGATTAGAAGCCAGGAGACCATGAGTTCTTCTCCTCCCTTGGACACAAAGCCATTTGGGTGGCCTCGGGCCAGTCACCCTCTCTCAGCCCTAGGAAGGAAACAATGGCAAACCACTTCGAAAATCTTGCCAAGAAAACTGCAGGGACTGGTCCAGGTAGACAGGTCTGACTTGAAGGGACATCCCAGGACACCAAGGTATTGTTTGGCTCAGCAAGAAGCACCAATGGGCTGGAGGGCGGCACTGATCCTGGCGCTTCTGCTGAGCCCTGATAGGCCTGCAGCTCCAGCTGTCTCTCGCTCAGGCTTGTGCAGTGCTGCCACCGATTCAGCTCATTCCCCTCCCCTGCTACCACTTTTCTAGGATGGTTGTGTACACCTGCCAGGTGCCAGTGTACCACAGGTGGTACCCGTACCTCAGGTTGAAAAGCCCTACTCTAAAATATTATTCTGTGTTGGAAATTAGAGAAGCAGGAACATTTATAAATTGGTATTTGTAGCAACAGTTCTTATGCTTGATTCCACTGCTCTCCTCTCAATAAAATCCATTCATTCATTCGTTCCAAAAAAAGAAAGAAAAGAAAGTGATTCTGGACCTTCCAATTGGCTTCTCTGCAGCCAGATCACCGAAGGAATCCTCCTATAGGGAGGCTTGGTGTACAGCAAATAATTTGGCTTTTTCTTGTCTCCCCAAAGGGTTTGCCAGGCACTCCTGGGAGCAAAGGTGGTCCTGGAGAGAAGGTATGGACTTGAGCTTCTTCCTGTTCTTCTTACTTGAATCATTAGCTTCTTTTACCCCTTCCAAGTAATTCTGATGAATTGGGAGTGGATTATATGCATTTTCTTCTTAATGTCTTCCCAGGGCCAGCTCGGGGCACGTGGTCCATCAGGCTTACCTGGGCCATCTGGAAAAATTGTAAGTAAAAGAGGATTTCAATCTCTTTCTCTCTCCTCTCAACCTCACTTTGGAGAGCATTGGAAAAAACGTTTGTTTCATTGCCTTTCTTGTTTCCTATATCCCCCCCACTTTTTTTGCATTATTCATCTTTTTTAAAAACCAAGATGATTCCCAAAACAATTCCTTTCTGTTTGGCTGTCCCTCCATCTCACTGTTTCCAGGTTTCAGCTCACGGTCATGAAAGGCGAGATTGTATCTGGAGATCTTAGAGGCCCTTGCAGATGGAGAAGCGGGCCCCAAATCTTGAGTGTCCTGCCTTTTCAGAGGGCGTCCCCCACATTTGCTGTAAAGCTTTGGGGAAGTCAGTGGTCTGAACCCCTTGAAGTGACCCCAAATCATATTTCCGCAGGGAAATTGAAGCTTTGCTGCTGCTTAGATGGATCTGCACGGTCAAGGCATTCTGTGGTGGTTTTTTTTCCCCATATTGCAAATAATTTTGTCTAAGTAGGGCAATAGTAAAGTTGAAAAAGGGAAAACATAGACGTTCAGACTGGCTGTGATGACCCAGGGCACAGCATAGAGGCAACGCAGTCAGCTGGCAATTCAAACCACCCTTTAATTGCTCCAAATTTTCCCCAAATGCTCCCACGTTTCTGGCAAGCCTCCAAACAAAGGAAGACACACACGCCTTCAGCCGCCTCTGGCGGCAAGTAGTTTCACATACAGTCTGATTAGGAGAGGAATTTACTCATGGCCACGGAGATAACAAGGAATGACACCTACATCATAAACCTAACGAGTCTGTGTGAGTACACGCTTGCCTGAGCAGTTTCCAAAAGGGAAGCCAAAATACAGTCCGAGATCTTTGAACATCCAAGCAACGTTGTCAGCCAGTCCAATGGTCAGAGTTTCCGGGTTTCCAAGCAGAAGTCACAGAACAAGAGATCAGCAACAACACACACAAAACTCCAAGGAATCAGCATTTGTTCCCGACAAATGTCTCTCCCCACAGCGTCTCCTTAAGTCTCAGTCTCCAGGTGTGCCTTGCGGAGAGGGGCGGGACGCTCTCCTCCTGAGTAGTTGAGCCTGCCTGCGTTGTTCCCTCCTTCTCTCCACTCTCCATGCTCTAGGATCAGGTGGGGGTGGCCCTTGCTCATCGCCTGAACTCTGCCTCTCCTGTTCCTCCTGTCCCAATCCTGGACGGCCCTGGCCTGCCTCGGCCTGCTCTCCCCCAAATTCCTCTGAAGCCACAGACCCCTCCCCTCGACTTCCGCAGGATCCCGTTCCAGCTCATTTCCCTCCACAGATTCAGGCTCCAGCGGAGGCACGACGCTGGCTGGCTAAGAGGGTCTAAAGCAGGAAATCCCTTTAGTAATAAGGATAAGTGATCTGCCATTACTTTCATTCAGGCCTTTTTAAAAATTCCTAATAGAAGGTAGTCCTTGACTAATGCCCATAACTGAGCCCAAAATGGTTGCTGTTGCTAAGTGAGATACTTATGAAGTGGATTTTGCCCCATTTTACGACTTTTCTGGCCACTGCTGTTAAGCGAACCAGTGCAGTTGTTCAGTTAGTAACACACACGGTTGTTAAGTGAATCTGGCTTCCCCATGGACGTTGCTCGTCAGAAGATCACAAAAAGGGACCCTGTGATCCCCGGGACACGGCAACGGTCGTAAGTACGAACCAGTTGCCTAGCGTCTGAATTTTGATCACGTGACTGTGGGGATGCTGCAACGGTCGTAAGTGTGAAAAATGGCCATAAATCACTTTTTTCATTGCCGTTGTAACTTCGAACAGTCTCTTAAGGAACTGGTACAGGTCAAGGACTACGTGTCTGTTATTGTTTTATTATAATATTATATTATTACTGTTGGTAATATATTATGATTGGTCACATAGCCAGATGTTTAGGCTGGATTTGACTTTTTTTATCCACTGGTTCAGTATTTGAGGAGGAGGAAGAGGAGGAGGAGGGGGCAGGGGTAAGAGTAGGGGTAGAAGGACATTTAATACAGCTGCCTTTCCCAGGGGATTCTACAACCTGTTGTTGTCTCCCCAAGAGCTATCCAGGCCATTTAGCCCAAGCCACCTAAATGTTTATTTTCTAAAGCCATCTTCATGTCACCTTTCTTGTCTATAAACGTAGAAATAAAGGAATCCAAGAAAGAAAAGCTTGAACTTTGTACAATTCCCTCTGTGGGGAGAAAGTCTGGCATTTTTTGCTGATTGTTTCAAATTCCCCAAAAGGGGATGGCTATGATGCCTGCACTTCCTATTTGCTGCCGGAAGGGGGCAGCATTGCCCTATGAAATAATGCAAGCAATTCAGCAAAGGTGAGCTGAACAAATCATAATGTAAATAACTTTGCTTTCATAGCATGCATGTTTTTCTTTTAATTCAGTATTTCGTTCTCCTGCTACATATTTTTTTGTCTTTTTTTCCTCATTGCCTCTTTTAGGGAGAGCCGGGTCCAGCAGGAGCAGTGGGTCCCCAAGGCAGCGCTGGCTTGAAAGTAAGTCTGCAAAGAATTGTGAGCTTACAGTCCCGACAACTTACAACTCTCCTATTCTAATATTCCAACTTTTTCCCTGTGAGGTGAAGTCTTTCTTCCATCACGTGGGTGATAGAGAAAGGATTTCAGCTGTCCATTTAATTTCCCCCAAAAAGTCTGATTTTTTTTTCTAAGACTTTTGAGGGGATCCATCCTCTCCTCTTAAGATGCAGTGTTTCTTTTTTGCAAATCCTGCTCTTCCATTCCGGCTGGAGTTACTGTGCGTTACAAGGATGGAATGACAACTTGGGGCCTCTCTCATCATGGGCCTGGCTGGCTGGGGCTTCTGGGAGGTGTAGTTCCGCCCTTTGGGGGGGAACTCAGGTTCCTGAACCCCTGTTTTGTGTTCAAAACTGAGAGTGAATGGCGAATTGGACCTCCTGGTTTAGTCTTTCAACGTAGACTCAACTAGGAAGTCATGCCTGTTAATAACTAATTTTATTATCGTGTTATAGAAAGAACCTTGAAAAGCTGAATATGCTCTATCTTTGAGAGCAAAGGAGGGGCTTTTTTATTTATTAAAAGTTTTATAAATTTATTACAATATAAACCCCCCACCCCTTCCCCCCCTCCCCCACTTCCCAGAGCTGATTACAGGGTAAAACAAAATAAGGAACAAATATAATCCAACTAACATAAACCAACTATACTTTCAATTAAAACCATAAGATAAACTCCTTCTCAATACAAATGTTAACAAATTAAGTCAATAATAATAATATAATTAAAACTATTAATAATTATCTAAAACCTACTCAAAAGTAAAATAATACTTTTCAATTTCATATTTCTTCTGAATATAATCAATCCATCTTCTCCAAACCATAATATATTTTTCTTGTGAATGGTCCTTCAAATAGGCGGAGATCTTCGCCATATCTGCTAAATTAGACACTTTAAGTATCCATTCTTCCAAAGTAGGCAACAAATTTTTCTTCCAATATTGCCCCACCAATAATCTTGCAGTTGTTATAAGGTTCAACATCAAATTAGTTTCTTTAACATCAAAATCTACGGTAATACCCAACAAAAATAATTGCGGGAGTCACTTACACAGATTACAGCTCTCGCCTGGATTCAGATTTGATTGCAGCTCTTCTTCCTGTTCCTCACAGTTATTCCTTCTGCTCATGACCATCTGATCTTCCACCTTCTCTTTTGCAGGGAGATCCGGGTGAGAGGGGGCCCACAGGACCTCCAGGGCCACAGGGAAAAGTGGTGAGTATGAACCCTTGTATCCAAACAGATCCCTTTTTCTTTCCTCCAAGAAGAAGGAAATGGAGACCCTTGGAAAACCCAACTCCTCCAGATGACAGTCTCTTCTATCTGCACGGTTGTTCTCCACATTCTTATGACTCCTGTGCTAGTAGACGATGTCTGTTGCTTGGTTCAGGGAGGTACATTGATTCAAAAATGGTTACCCTAGGGCAGGGGTAGGCAACCTTGGCTCTTTTATGACTGGTGGACTTCAACTCCCAGAATTCCTGAGCCAGCATGGCTCAGCTTGGAAACTTCTCCCTTTCCCCTCAGCATGGCTGGCTCAGGAATTCTGGGAGTTGAAGTCATAAAAGAGCCCAGGTTGCCTACCCCTGCCCTAGGGTGCACCACTGCATCCAACCGAAGGTTACAAATAGACAAACACAGATAGTATGTCACTGTTGTATGAGGTTTACATGACTTCCACCATACCTCTTGGTTTACACAGTGTAGGGATATACTTATTCTGACACCAGGAGGCAGTACATGACCAATTTCATTCTTTTGGAAAATCATAGAGCATCGAACAACAGAGTTGGACGGGTCTTCTAGTCCAACCCCCTGTTCAGGCAGGAAATTCTATACCATTTCAGACAAATGTTTGTCTAATCTCTTCTTAAAAAGTTTTTAAGAAGAGACTGGACAGCCATTTGTCTGAAATGGTATAGGGTTTCCTGTCTGAGCAAGGGGTTGGACTAGATGACTCCAAGGTCCCTTCCAACTTTATTATTGTTATTATTATTATTACTATTATTACTATTACTATTATTATTATTATTATTTACTACTACTACTACTACTACTACTACTACTACTATTAGTATATTGGACCCAGCTCAATGGAAGGAAAAAAAATTACAAAAATCTTTGAGGACGCCCCTATATTTGGAAAAAATGGAACCAGCCACGATCAGTGGTTGATGCAAAGGTTTATATTGTAATCCTTAAAACGAATTTAGATCCTTTCTGCCATTTAAGATGCAAAGCACAGGGGCTATCGGCCATGTCAGACTTAAGAGCTGTCTTCCCCATCCTTAATTTATGGCTTTAGCGTGTATCTACCAGGCAGGGTAGAAGTTAATGGCTGTTTAATTAACAACACTTTGCTTTTATGAATTGTATATCTTTCAGACAGCCAGTGAAAGTAGCTAAGCTGTTCCACGTAAATTCCTTGCCAGCTATTCTTTCGTGGCCTGCAGATACAGTAAAACTTTGATTTTTATGGCCCAACTGGGAGGAAAGGATGCATTAAATCCAAATAGACTCAATCTACAGACATTATCTGGACTGATTCACTAAAATTTGTTCTTTGGCAAATTCAGTTTTGTCCTTTACATCCAAAACCTATTGAGAGGACCTTGGTGCTAGTCTGAGCTGGGTTGCTCAGACAGCATCATAATTACTAGCCCTGATGATGTTACCTATTTTGGTAATGAAACATCTACAAGAAAACAACCAATATCAGAGAGCTCCAAAGAGCCCTCATTTCAATATTTGTAAATATTCTCCTTTATTGATTAAAACCTATTGAGTGTAAAATTCAGGCTTTATTGTAGGAGAAAGAGACTGTTTTTTTTTTTTAACGCGTCAGCAATATTTATTGAAATTACCGTAACAGATTTAGAACAGCACGGCAGGTAGTGTGACTGCAGAGAACTGGCTCGTACTGAATGGGAGGCAAATCATGATGCTCTTTTAGTGGTGTGAAAGAGAAGCAACTGGAACCACCATTCTTGTGGCTTCAAGACAACTGGAAGGCCACACATTCCAGCTGAATCTAACACCATCTCTATCTTCATTTTGTTGAATGAACTCCAAGAAGGTTGTCATTGTGAAGCTCTTGTATCTCAGCTCCAACCGCTTCTCTCACTTTGCCCTCGTGCACACAGAACCCAGCAGGCTGAGCGCCGCCAACGCAACAATCATGGCTGGGGGGGGGGGGGTGACACGTCAAAGGGCAGAGAGTGCACGAGAAGGGCAGGGCCATGAGCGTGGGGCAGGTCTGGAGCCGAGTAGCCCGGCTCTCACCCGGCGGGGAAAAAAAAGCAGAGTGAAGCCGGCGGAGAGGAGAAAGAGACTGTTTGTGTGCATGTGTGTCTGTCTTTGTTCTCTTCCTTTTTTTCTGCCTCACATTTTATTTTCCTTTTTTTCTCTTCCCTTCCAGGGCCCTAAAGGCGAGCAGGGCCCGCCTGGAATTCCGGGGCCACAAGGCCTCCCTGGAGTTAAAGGCAGCAAGGTAACATTTTGACCTTCCTGACTTGAGGTCAATTTTCTGTGATCAGCAGTGGTCAATTTGAAATCCCCTGATTTTTATTTTTTATTTTTTTTTAAAAAAAAAAAACACGTTCTGCAAGATTTTTGTTTCTGCAATCCCCATTTTTCCTGGCAGCCAAATTTTCCAGCAGTGTTGCATGACTTCATGTAGCATTGTGAAGTTTGAAATGTTAACCGATTCACAAAAACAGGGGGGAAAAGCAGATTTGATAATAGCTTATACGTTCTCACAGAACAGATCAGATTCAACAATGTAATGAGATTTTGGCCACTTTAAGTATTTAATTAAAATGTTTTGATTGTGGAGATGTTTGAATGCCATTTAGTACAGTTATTGTGGTCACAGCACTCCTATGTGTTAAGTTATTGATCCTCAGAATACAGGTGCCTCCACAAAAGGTTTTGTGTGTGTGTGTATGTGCGCGCGCGCACGAAGAGGGGGAAATTTGACCTTGCCCAATTCTAAGGGTATGATGAGAATGGCCTCGGCAGGCAGAGGGGAAGAGAAGCTGCTTAGAGAACAGATTTATTGTTTTATTTTTAACAACCCTGTAATCCCATGCATCTGGATGGAGTCGGGGTGACTGAACAGAGCTTGAGCCTTTACTGGTCGGATTCCCTTCCTGACGCCTATGCGGAGTTCACAGTAGACAATTACTCATTGTGCCCAAGAGAGAAATACCTGCCATTGCCTAGGATCAAACTCACAGCCTCCTGATTGTGAGGTGAGAGCTCCACCACTAAGCCACCACGCTGCTAGGCCTAGAGAACAGATAGGAGAGGGAATAACCCACAGCTGCATAAAGGGTGTAGAAATAGGGTCAGCAGGGACCCTAAAGGTGATGGCAGGAGGTTTGTACTTTCAAACATGCAAGATTCTGTTTAGACAGCCTTACAGTAAAGTAGAATGAGCTCATCTGGTCATTTTTTTTCTTACCTGGTCTAGCTGGGAAGGCTTACATCAATCTTACATTTTGCAGCTGCGGGCGATGCCCTCTCTTAACCTGACCATTCCCTAGTCAGCTTCTCTTACCTCCTAGGTCAGGGGTAGGCAACCTTGGTTCTTTTATGTCTCATGGACTTCAACTCCCAGAATTCCTGAGCCAGCATGGGGGAAACTTTGGCCCCTTCATGACTCGTGGACTTCAACTCCCAGAATTCCTGAGCCAGCGTGGCTCAGCTTGGAAAAGTCTCCCTTTCCCCTCAGCACGGCTGGCTCAGGAATTCTGGGAGTTGAAGTCCACGAGTCGTAAAAGAGCCAAGGTTGCCTACCCCTGTCCTAGGTCATTCTCATATAGCGTTATATCACTTTGGGCTGTAGCTCTGCCCTCTCCTTTATTCAGCCTCACCACCATTGACATGCAAGGCAGTTTTTAACACTCTTTATCCCTCACTGAAACCCTGAATGAGCCAAAGGGCGGCTTGTCCTGATCCGGATAACATTAAAGTTGATGGCCCAGAACGGAGACTTTGGTTCCTAATTAGAAGGCTGCTAGTAACAGCAAGACAAGAACCTTTTTCAGATCAGATGTATTTGTCCAGCATTTAATTTTCTGCAGTAGCCAACCAGGTGATCCATTGAAATCCCGTAAATTGGCATTGTTTGGTCATTCCCAAATGACATTGGTGGTGATTAGATTATCTAGTTTTCCTGGATATTCAATTTGGGAATTCTGTGCTCCCAAACCATCTGGAATAAACCCATTGAAGACCTTCAACAGAGTGCTACAATAGATTGAACATCTTCTATATTTCATTTTTTCCCCCTTTTCCTCCCTGTAGGGCTTCCCAGGAAAAAGTGGGTCCAAAGGAGATGTTGTAAGTACATCTGTTGCATTTTTTTCCTTTTAATCATCGTTACTACCTAGCTAGCCCAGTGAAGCAACCAGCAATTTATTGTCTACTCTTTTGATCATATTTTATTTCTTTAAGTTTTGATCTGGCGGTGCCTTCGGCATAAAATATTCCCTAGACAGCCAACAAAACATACAAAGAGTTGTAAAATTAATCCATAGAAATCAATGGAGAAACAGCAACAGATTCAGCCAAATCAATAACTATGAAATAAATAAGGAAAAACAGAAAGATTTTCGTGAGCTGAGACAGTCTCAGCAAATGTGGGCAAGTGGAAGGATTAAATGGCCTGGGATAATGGAGAAAAATAGGTGTCAGGCTCCTAAAACTGCAGTACAAGCTCCTAGAAGCAAGAAGTGACACGGACGCCCTTTAAGGAGTTTTAAGACCAACAATTCAGGATTAAAATACAGAGTCTTGAGAAGGATCTCTCTGAAGCTTTTTAAACGTCTTTTCCCCCAAGCAATCTGCATGATCAGCTAAGGATCTGTTTTTGTAAAACAAAATCAGCAACACTCTCTCTGATCTGCTGATTATTTGAGTCAGCTCAAAGTGGGCTTCAACAATATGGATTAGGGGGGGCTTCCTGCGTCCCTCTCCCCTCAGCATGCCATTTCTGCCTACCTCCCACTCCCCAGGATTCTGAAATTACATTGCTGGTTTGCAATAAAATGGCTGAATTTCAGAGGCTGGCAGTTGACTTCTCTTCAGATGGGGGGGGGGGAAATGAAGCAGGAGGGAACACCCTTCTACTTAGCCATCCCCCTCCCTGAAAAATGGGCTGAATGAATTAGACCCTACCCCTCCCACCAGCAGATCTAAAGACTGACATGTATAAAAGGGGCACAATCAGTCATTGCAATGACTGATTTAAGTCACTCTGTTGACTTAAAGCAGCAGATCCGGTGGATGTCTCTGTCCAGAGCTCAAAAACTATCTCCAGACTTAGCAGTTAAGAACTATGTTCCCTCTGGTCTGGTAGCTAGAGGGCCTCTTTTCGTCTAGGATCTTCCAGATCAGATCTAGGCATTTTATGGCCCCTGGGTCACCTCTGGCTCTTCGGCTGTCCCTTTCCGTTTCACGTGAGGTCACTTGGAAGTTAGAAATGAAAAGTAAATAAGCGAGCCGCAGGATGAGGAAGAAGAAGCTGAGTCGTGTCCGAATCTGTGTAGTTGCGGTGCACGCCTTCACTCAGCTGGCGGTCACTGGTGGGCAAAGAGAGAGCATTTTTTTCTGCCTACGCAATGCTTGCCCTGTCAAGGTTCCAACTATCGAACCCAACCAAGCAAACATGTTCCAATCGCTTAATGTAAAACTTTATTGAGTACATCACTTCGGCACTAATGAAAGCAAAACCAGCTCTGGCAAGACCCCTTCCAACCCCATATAGTAAAAGCATAGAATTCTCCCTCCTTCCTCTTGATCAGGTCACATTGCCCAATTAGGTGGGTAAATATTGTTATGAGAAAGTGTCTCCGGGTCTGGGCAGACACCTGGTGCACTGTCCTTGGTTCTCACAGTCTGGCTTTTTGATCTTGGAAGTCTGTCTTCCAAACCCAAGTTCGTTGGCAAGCTGAGAAGCAATCATTGTCACACCAGCAAAACTGTGCTTCAAAACTTGACACACATCCTGCCTGCAGGAGGCAGTGGTAGTGGTAGTGGTCATCCCAAGATGGGACATGCCTGACTATTATGGCTTTTTCTTATTTTCTCCTAGGGGGATCCTGGTGTTGAAGGCCTTTCTGGAGAAAAGGGGCAGAAGGTGAGATTGTCTAAAGAGTTTCTAATCTCAGCCCTTTAAAGAGGGCTGGACTTCAACACCCAGAATTCTCCAGCCAGCATGCTGGAGTTGAAGCCCATCCCTCTTAATTATTAACAAGCAATTTCCAGAAATGATGAAGAAAGGAAATAGGAGAATCCAGTATCCTTTCAAAGGGGCTGACTGTTGTTTGAGTGAAGATGGTCTATTCCCTTGGTTCCCAGAGCTCTGAGCCTGCTGGAGACCACTGTCTTGCAGTCTCCTGGTGGAGAGCTGCTGTATGGAGTGAGTGTGGGTGATCCTGAGTCCTCTCCCTGTCCAGAGAGGAATTCTGAGAAGCTGGTTAATTTCCCAGCTCCTTAACAGAATAAAAATATTAAAAGTTAAAATGGTGGAGAGAACATCCTTACAACATCAACCTTCTCCAGGGTGGCCTAACATGCTTTGACCCCCCCCATGCCAAAAGTGGGATGAGCCGAGGTGGCGCAGCAGTTAGAGTGCAGTACTGCAGGCCACTTTAACTGACTGTGTTCAGCAGATCAGCGGTTCAAATCTCACCGGCTCAAGGTTGACTCAGCCTTCCATCCTTCCGGGGTAGGTAAAATGAGGACCCAGATTGTTGGGGGCAATGGAAATATATATATACATTGCTTACTGGTGTACACCGCTTAGAGAGTGCTTGCACTTAAAGCGGTATATAAGTCTCATAAATAAATAAATAAATAAATAAAGTGGTGAAGGTCAAAAGAGTAGAGGCCTGCCCCACCTTTGCTGGTAACAATAACAGAGTTGGAAGGGACTGTGGAGATCTTCTAGTCTAACCCCCCCTGCTCAAGCATTCCAGACAAGTGGCTGTTCAGTCTCTTCTTAAAAGCCTCTAGTGATGGAGCCCCCCCACCCCCCCCAACTTCTGAAGGCAAGCTGTTCCACTGGCTAATTGTCCTTCCCCAGAAATCTCAAAATCTGTTATCTATTTGGAGCCTTAGCTCAACATTTCTCTTTGTTCTTTATTTTTAGGGTGAATTGGGTGAACCTGGACCAAAGGGGCAGGTGATTATTTGCGACTATATCTTTGTTTTGAACAATGTGGTTTATCTTGGGTATCTATCTATCTGTCTGTCTGTCTGTCTGTCTGTCTATCTATCTATCTATCTATCTATCTATCTATCTATCTATCTATCTATCTATCTAAATAAATAAATACAGAAAATATATATAATAACTCTTTTGATTGGGGATGAGAAATAATTGTTCTTATTAAAAAAAGACTTGAATAATGGGTTATTTATGCTAAGAACAAAATGATAATTTTGCTGGATCTGCAACTTTATATCAAAAACAGTTTTTATAGCTCTATAGCTGATCCCTTGCATATGCCGTATAACTAGGCTATTTTACATTTTTTAATGCCTTCAAATAGCAAAGAATAAAAAAAATTGATAATGAATGTTAAGGCAAACATCAGGCAATTTTCTTTAATATGATACAAAGCCACGTTTGTTACTCTCTGGAAGATTTTTGCATCAATGTTTTTCTTAAAATAGCTAGATCTTAAATTTCCTCCCCCCCCCCCAGGACACCTTCTCACTTTTAAAAGTTATGGAGGATCCCGACAGAGGTTTTGTTTGTGTGCGTTATATTTATTGATATTTGCCATATTAAACATTAAAATGGACGCATCTGCTGCTACCTCTGCTTCTCACCGTTTGTTGGGATTTTAATACAGGTGGTTCTCAGTTAATGACTATAATTGGGTTCAACCACTCACTTGCTAAATGTCACGGTTGTCAAGTGAAAAATTATAGGATGATGTCAACTTACAGTGACACTTCCAGCAGTTCCACTTCTTTTTTTTTAATATTTTTTTATTTTTCCAAACTCTCCCCCATACATATACCGTGATATTTATCAGATGTTAACATACATTCTTTTTACATTCATATATAAGATACTTTTGATAAAATGAAATAAATACATACACATGACTTTTGGTGTTGCTCGCCCATTTCCCCTTTCACTGTATCCACACTCCTTCTTCTCTACCTTCTTTCTCCCTTTCTTCTCTTCCCTACTTCCCTCTTCTTCCTCTCCTCTTCTCTTTCCTTCCCACTTCTCTTCTCCTCCTCCAACCTTCCTACTTCCTTCTCCCCTCCTTTACTCTTTTCTCTCTCCTTCTCCTTTCTTCCCTCTCATCCCTCTTCAGATACAATTCAGGGGTAATGTCCGAGCAACTCCTCTCTCCAAATTTCCCTATCTGTATTATATACAATAAGATTAATTTTCTCTTACATTAATACTTCTATTTATCTAACCTTCTCGGTATATATGTCTATAAATATTTATACAACCTCCAGTTATTCAATACTGTGTCGCCTGGGTCTCCCTCCTTATCTGCTCCTTCTTCTTCCATCTATATTGGTGTTAACTATCTTTTAACCGTATTCTCTTTTCAGCCAATCATAAAAAGTTCCCCAGATTTCATAGTAGTCCAGCAGTTCCACTTCTGATTGTTAATTGATTCGTGGGCACACTGGCTGGGGAATTTGGAGAACTGAAGTCCGCATATCTTAAGGTTGCTGAGGTTAACAAAAACTGCTGCTCATGTCCTTTCACAGCAAGGTATCCGTGGGGAGGCTGGTTTTCCTGGACCTCCTGGAGACATCGGAGCACCTGGAGTCAGAGGTTTCCCAGGATCTCCTGGCCCTCGAGGACCTAATGGGGAACGTGGCGTACCTGGAATACCTGGGTTGCGAGGTGCCCCAGTAAGTAAATATCATAATAGTTCCATGTCGTAGGATGCCACCACCGAGCTGGCATCTCGGCAATTTTGAAGGCCAATCAGGATGTTCTCCAGACTTCAGAATTCTCTATCCTGTGTGGCCATTGTGGAGAATTTGAGGGGTTCATTTCCACACCTCTGAAGGATGGTGTCAACCTGGTATATAGACCTCGCTACAGAAGGGGTGATCTTAGAGAAAAAAAGATCTCTAAAGTCTTTTTTTTTTCCCCTCTTAAGATCTATTGAGAAGATTTCATTATGGGTCTGTACATGCAAATTCTGTCTTCTAATTAGCCTCATCCTGGGCAGGGCTTTCCTGGCATGGAATTAGATCAGTGATCCTTCCTGGAGCAGAATAGGAGAATTACTGACCTTACGTGGGATGCTTGTCAAAAATCAGTGGGGTACCGCTTTGGCCTTGGCCTTCTAATTGTGTGGTGTCTCTTTCACTGGGTCATTCAACCATTCTCCCTTCAGAGGTTCAGTACTAGAAGAGGCTGCCTACTCCAGCGTGGAATGAGTCCCTTGAAAGGAGTCTGCTTTCGAAGATCTTTGATCCTTGACTGTTGAGAGCCATTTCATTATTGTGAAAAACAGACTGTGTGGTAGATCTCTTCTGAGGTGCCTCTGCACAAATCTCACTGAGATAATCTGCTATATGCAGAGACACTCCTCTAGACTGTCACCATTGTAAATGCAATTTCACTTTTATGAAAGATATTCTGCTGAAGCACCGGTACTACAGTTGCGTAAGGACCTTCAGCTTACATGGTTGCAAGGAGAATTCTAAGAACCCTAATTCCCTACTCCTGATTTTTTGGGAATGTTTTAATTAAGCCATAGCAATATGTATGTGAGTGTACATACATACATACATACATACATACATACATACATATATACACACACAGTATATATACACAGTATATACATATATACAGATAAATACGCATATATGTATATACATCTTTGTAAGAAAGGCATACTAAACCAACGATCTCCAGGACAAAAAGTTTTATTAAAATACTTTTAAAATACCAAACTTTCGTTAGCAACTGCTAATGTTGTCAAAGTGTAAGCAGACATTGGAAAACCTGTCTGTATAGCTCTTCCAATGTCCATAATTTGGCCATTGAGCGTGTTACCGGCCCATAAGACGAGAGCTTCCCAATGTCTGCTTACACTTTGACAACGTTAGCAGTTGCTAAAGAAAGTATTTTAAAAGTATTTTAATAAAACTTTTTGTCCTGGAGATCAGTGTTTTAGTATGCCTTTCTTACAAATGAATATACCTGGGACTTGAATTTTTAGAATTGTTGCAGACATATGCATATACATATACATATACATATAATCTTTGAGATTGTGCTGACTCCTGGAGACTAGTCCCTACAGTTTCTTGGCAAGATTTTGGAAGCATTTTCCTGTTGCTTCCTTTCCCAGGCTGAGAGAGAGTGACTGGCCCAAGATCAGCCAGCTGGCTTCATGCCTAAAGCAGGACTAGAATTCACAATCTCCTGGTTTCCAGCCTGGGTGCCTTCCCCACTCTTCTTCACTCTGCTGGCCTTGATGTTGGCAGGAACATCAAATACCAGTCAATTCTCTTTCCAGCCAACCAGTAGGAAAGTGCAGAAGGGGTTGTTCAGCCAGGGCCTCGTACCTTACAGGGGAGGATATTCCCCACGGAAAGGAAGGGAAAAAATAAATGCGTTCCTGCTTGTTTTAATACATGTTATACACATTTCTCCAGGCATTATTCATCCTGCATATAAATTTCCACTCCAAGCTGCATCTGTGGCTGAAGGTTTCAATGCAAGAGTCTATCTCTGTTATGTGTGTGTGTTGAGGGGGGGGGGGGAGGGAAGGAGTGACAGGCATGAGCCCAGAGGCTGGCAGGCAAGTGAAGATTGCATGAGAACTGAAGCAGACCAGCTTTGGACAGACGCTGCTTGAGTATAATAACTCGAAGCCTCCCTGCAGAATCTTAGGTCCTGACAAACTGATTTAAGAGTGTTGTGATTGCTGGCATTGTGACGTAGGAGAAGATCACCATCCGCGCCTTCTCTTCCATTCTCCAGGGCAGGGACACCGGAGACCAGCATATTGTTGAGGTCGTGGTCAAAATGCTGCAAGGTCAGTGTATCAAAAGGTCACTGCTGGCCAAATCACACACTAACCAGTGTGATGACCCAGGGACAAAGGAAAATTAAAGCTCACGAATCAAATGCCACGAGCTTGGCAGTGATTCATCCCAGTGGGCCTGGCACTTGGCTGTGGACATATTTGGGGGCTGCAACTTGGTGTCCTGGTTGACACTGTATGACATCCCTAGAAATGTGTGTCTTTTTTAGTAGGTTAAAATTAAAACTTTTAGGGCGGGATTGTGTGAACAACCTCACAATCCTCGCGCTTAAAATCCGTCCCTAACTACAGCCTGAATTTTTGACCCATTGAAATTCTGCTGGCCGGTTCTTACTATAGGTAGGACCCCAGCTGAGCCCAAATGTTGTCAGGTGAGACATTTGTTCAAGGAGTTTTGCCCCACTTTTCTTGCCACAGTTGTTAAGCAGATCACTGCAGTTGTTAAGTTAGTAACCCAGTTGTTAAGTGAATCTGGCTTCCTCCATTGACTTCGCCGGTCAGGAGCTCACAAAAGTTGAGCACGTGACCCTGGGACACCAACTGTTGTTAATTTGAGCCGGTTGCCAATCCCCTGAATTTTGATTACGTGACCATAGGAATACTGCAACAGTCATAAGTGTGAAAAACGGTCATAAGTCACGTAACTTTGGACGGTCACTGTCGTAAGTTGAGGACTCCCTGTAGTGTGAAGTGGGGATGATTGGAGATGCAAATCAGATGCAGATGGCCTGTGGGTGGTCTGACATGCAAGTCCCATTTAGCCTTAATTAATGGCCATTCATTGACCCTTGTTCAGTAAAACGGTCTAAGCCAGGGGTGGAGAACGATGGCCTCTTGATGACTTCTGAACTTCAACTTCCAGAAGTTGGCTCAGGAATTCTGGGAGTTGAAGTCCACAAGAGGGCCATCATTGCCCACCCCGATCTGAGTAGAAGCAGCCCCTAAACCACATTGCCTGGACTCAGAAGCTAAGCAGAATCAAGACTGATGTCTGTGGAGGTTCTCCGTCCTCCAAGTCATGGTTGACCCAAAGGTGCTTTTTGGAAGGCAGCTGGACTTCCTTGTTTTTCTTTGAAGGCGTTTCACTTCTCATCCAAGAAGCTTCTTCAGCTCTGACTGGATGTTGAGGAGAGGGAGGATTCCCCACCAGCTGAAGAAGCTTCTTGGATGAGAAGTGAAACGTCTTCAAAGAAAAACAAGAAAGTCCAGTTGCCTCCTGAAAAAGCACCTTTGGGACAATCAAGACTGATCAATGCTTGAAAGAGGAACCACCATGGCAGGGGTAGGCAACCTTGGCTCTTTTAGGACTTGTGGACTTCAACTCCCAGAATTCCTGAGCCAGCATGGGGGAACTATGGCCCCTTTATGACTCGTGGACTTCAACTCCCAGAATTCCTGAGCCAGCATGGGGGAACTACGGCCCCTTCATGACTCGTGGACTTCAACTCCCAGAATTCCTGAGCCAGCATGGGGAACTACGGCCCCCTCATGACTCGTGGACTTCAACTCCCAGAATGCCTGAGCCAGCCTGGCTCAGCTTGGAAACCTCTCCCTTTTCCCTCAGCATGGCTGGCTCAGGCATTCTGGGAGTTGAAGTCCACGAGTCATAAAAGAGCCAAGGTAGCCTACCCCTGCCCCAGGGAATACCAAAGCTGTAGGCTAGACTGGGAGATTGAAAAAAGATAACGCACAAATATTCCATGTTTGTATCTTCAAAATCCCCGGGAATCAAGCAGCAGCTACAGAACACATTTTATCTGGTTATGATTGAATCCATTTTCCAACTGTCTACAATAACTTGAATCGTAAGCTAACAAACTAGCCGGGTTCATATAAAACATTAATCTAGAAATCGTTGAACCGAATGAAAACTAATCCAGCTCATCACGTTGGGCAAATACAGCTGCCGGGCTGGTAATTAACGCAGTTTTGTAAACACAGCTGTTGGGGAGCAGCCGTCTCCATAAACCGGAGTACATTTGTGGAGAAACGTGTCTTCACTGTCTGTCTGGATACTTCCTGAATTTGGGAAGGGTGCCGACCCCTGGGAGACAATGCACTGCTTTCTTTTCATCTTTGCCTTCCAGAACAACTGGCTGAGTTAGCTGTGAGTGCGAAAAGAGAAGCTTTGGGTGGAAGTGGCACGATGGGACCACCTGGGCCACCAGGGCCTACTGGATCACCTGGCCCCCAAGGCCCCCACGGACATCCAGGTTCCCGTGGTCTTCCAGGAATCATAGGAGCTGTTGGACAGATAGGCAACACCGGGCCCAAAGGTAGGAAGCCTGGACACGTCATATAAGGGCTTGTTATCTGACTGATGAGGGTTTCGTAGCCATAAATCGACACCTGCAAGTTCATTCATGATCCTCGTGAAGAACTTTATCCTTCAAGTTCCCAGAGAAGCCATTAGCAAGAAATTACAAAAGGCTCCATCCTAATTCTTTAGGAAACATGTGGGTTCTAAATGGGGAATGCTTCCTTTGCCAAAATTCACACAAACTTTCAGCAAATCTTGCTAAAGAAGGCTTAATTCATGCTGGGGAAAGAATTACTCTCAGCTAGAGTCAACCCCCCCAAAAGCTAGATACCTCATGTCTAACTCTACTTATCAGATACCAACAACATCTGGAATTAATAGCATGGAGAATCTTGCCAGGAACATCTGTTCAATCCCCCAATATTTTAAATGGTGGACTTGGTGTCAGGGCCTCTATAGTCATTGTGGATCTTCCCCTTCTCCCTTTTCAGCCTCATATGCTGTGAAAGTTTCATTTTCTTTTTCCATTAAAAATCATGTTACTGGTAGTAGTTATCTCAGCATAGCTGCAGGAGGTCAGATTTGAGAAAAATTTTCTAGAGTGTTTTCTTGATAGAATATACACGGTCCATTCCAACCCCCTGCTCAGGCGGGAAGCCCTATCCCAGTGTTTCCCAAACTTGACAATTTTAAGGCATGAGGACTTCAACTCCCAGAATTCCACAGCCAGCGTTGCTGGCTGTGGAATTCTGGGAGTTGAAGTCCACATGCCTTAAAATTGTCAAGTTTGGGAAACACTGCCCTATCCCATTTCAGACAAATGGTTGTTCAGTCTACTCTCGAAAGCCTCCATTGATGGAGCACCCACAACTTCTGATTAATTGTTCCCACTGTCAGGAAGTTTCTCCGTAGTTCTAGGTTGGTTCTCTCCTTGATTAGTTTCCATCCGTTGCTTCTTGTCCTGCTTGTGCATTGCTGTGGATAATGCCTTATGTGTCAGTAACTTAGAGATAAGGGCTAGTGTCAGCCCTTTGAGGTGGGCCTGGTCAGAAAATAAGACTCCACATTTTGGAATTGTAGTGACACAGGCTATAATAACAGAATCTTAGAGAATTCGTTTGGTGTGATGGTTAAGGGACGAGGTTAAGAAACTGAAAACCGCTAGTTAGGCACAAAGCCAGCTGGGTGATCTTGGGCCAGTCACATTCTCTTAGCTCTAGGGAGGATGCAATGGCAAACCGCTTCTAAAATCATTGCCAAGAAAACTGCAGGGCCTTGTCCAGACAGTCATCAAGGAGTCACAACTGACCAGAAGCCACCAAATCACAGAATCTTAAATGCCTGTTTCCTCCCCTTCCCTTTTCCCTCTCTTACACTCCAATAAGTTAGGGTGGAGCCAGTCTGAGTATTTTCTCTGTGTCCTGGATTTAAAGCATTTCAAAAAAAAAAAAAAAACACTTCTCCAGTCCCTCCAAGGTCATCTTTGTGGCTTTGTTAACTGGAAAGGAGGTCCAGTCAAACAGTATGTCTACAAAATATGAATCTAATAAGGGTTAATTTTTGTGGTTTCCTTATCCTACAGGAAAGAGGGGTGAGGAAGGAGACCAGGGAGAACCTGGCCATGGTCATCAAGGGATGCCAGGGCCTCCAGGCATACCAGGTGAGAAGATCTTTTGGAGTTACCTTGAGAGAAACAGACATACAAGACTGGGTTCCACCTCCCAGTGTGGAAGAACTTCTAGGGTTCCCAGTCATTCTAGCTAGGCACTGACACGGGATATCTTTGGAGGACAGTCAGAGCCACTCAGGGTCATCTTTTAGGGGAGATGGTGGCTGGCATAAAAACATTAATGAATAAAATAAAATAAAGAGTTGTGGAAAGTTCCATCTCCAGACACCGCACAAAATAAACCATCTGTGAATCTTTTACAGTTTTAGAGAAGGTGCTGATATGTTTACAGCTATGGGCCTGAAGTTATAAAAGCAGTGCAGTGTGCTCTCGCTTTATAGTTTCCCTTGAGAAAGATTTTGGAATGATTCAAACGTTTTTCATAGTGGGAAGGATGAAGCAGTTGCTGCCAAAAAAAAAGGTCTGGAGGAGATCACTTTGGGGAATGTTATACATCTTCATTTAGTTATGGATAAGATAGATTTTGTACTCACAAAAAGGAAGTGAAAGAGCTATCTCTGGAGAAGTAAAAAAGTAACGGCAGAAGAGACTTTGGGGTATAGAGACTTCACCACTACGCTGCTTTCTAAACAATTGATATCAATAGTCTCCCAGGTCTAGGTCTTGTAGAGACTGTTGGAGTTCTCAAGGGACATCAGTGTACAGTCTGCATTGTCTCTTTTCCTGTGGTGTTCCCTCGTCACTAGATCTGAAGCCTTGGCCATTAGCATCTAGCTGACCTCCAGTTTGTATCAGCTTGGGTGTTAGATTTTGTTTGTTGCATGTCCAAGTCCTATTGTTCAGGCCTTCTTTCCTGAAAGGTGATGCTGGCAAGTAGGTGGCTAATAAAACGTGAATTCTGAGACTTCACCCAAGTCTTTTAGAGGTGTTGTGGGGAAAAAAAACACCAATGGAAAAGACAAGAGACAGCAACACAAAACAATAATTCTTACTTTAAGATTCAGAGGTTTATTTTGCTAATAATTTGGAACATAGCAAGCGTAATAACTCAACATCACTTACATTAATAACCCATTGTAATGACCATATAGCCCTATCTTATTATACCAGAAGGGGGCTATATTTTCATCTCCCACAGAGGTGATAGGGTCTTTAGAACTTCGAGAAGCAACGGTGGTTGTGGAAGGGGGTCTGGCACGCAATTATAAACTGTATATTGTTTCATTTTTCCAGGTCCCCCTGGTCCCCCTGGTCAAGCTCTCAATGGCAAACATGGAGAGCGAGGTGTTCCAGGTGCTCCAGGAGAAGCCGGACGTCCTGGTTTACCTGGACCTCCGGGCCTTCCTGGGTTTTGCGAAGCAGTTGTCTGCCTTGGGGCCTCTGCCTCAGCTCAGCTAACTGAAGTAGGTTCCGTCAAAGGACCTTCATATTGAATGTTCTCAAGTGAAAGAGTTCCATGGTTGACATCACTGATTCATCAGAAGCTTCACTACTTGCGTTAAGCAATGAACACACCAGGATTGGGCCCAAAGAGATGTGAAAGCCACCAATCCAAAACCTCTTGACTGATGAGAAACCTTTGCTTGGATCTGAGCATCCATGCATATCCAGTCACCTTTGTTGGTGAGAAGACGCTTAGACAATTCTGAGTGGCGCCAAGTGGACATCCATATACATGCCAACATTGCTGGTATCTTGGATCAAGCTTGAGTTTCTCATTGAAAAGATTGCTTCTTTTTTATTTATAAGAAATAGTAGAGTCCCCCGCAAAATTATACACTACCTTGAGAAAAGGCGGGAAAATTCTCATTTTGGGCCCCGATACTTTTTTTGAGGTAAGAGTTCCACACGGTAGCATTTTTATGTTTTTGAGATCCTGGGTGCTTTTTCTTGGAGATGTTTCATTACCCATCTAGGTGACACCATCAGTACTAGAAGGGAGTGGGACAAACCCCACTCCCTTCTAGCACTGAAAACGTTACCTAGTTTGGTAATGAAACGTCTTTAAGAAAGCAGCCGAGGTCAGAGAGCAGCAAGGAACCAACAGTTCAGCCTTGAACTACAAATAGTCTCTTCTGTGTTTCAGTCTGTTAAGGATTATGAAATATTACTATGTGGGAGAAATTCAAAATTCAGATCGAAAAAAAAATCCTTGAAAAATGATGTCACTTTTGTTTCGGTCTGTTGATTTTTTTTTTAATCACTTGAGGTTTATTTCTGACAAGCACCTCATCATGAAAAAAGAACATAGTAAAATATGTTACAAGGTGTCTCCTTTCTCAAACAAAAAACCTCATGAGTGAGTTGAGATAATTCTTGATTTATTGCCCTCCGTGGCCCCATCATTTCAGCTGCTTTTGTACTGAGTGCCCAATTTTTTTTTAATGTTTTGGGTCAATTAAATATTATTATATCAAGTTGGTTGATGGAATTGATCTGTCCAAATTAATTGCATTTTTAATTACAAAATTAGCCTTTTTGATCTCCCTTTTCTATTATAGTTATTATTTAATGATGAATGATACTCTGCCAAAAGCTGTAAATCTTTGTAAAATAAGGGTTTTTAATTACTAATTAAAAATATTTTTTCTCCACAAAAGAAAACAAACAACATAAAGAACGAATATCGGTGAACTTAACAGTTGTGTCCGATCCTCTTGATTGAACAGACTTGTAAAAACAGTTATTCTTCAGTAATTATTTTTGTAAGTTGACTAATCATCTTCATGGGGGGAAAAAATCATTGGATCTTGATATTGTTCTAGATGTCTCCTTGGAGTCCTCTGCAGGAAGCCTTTAGTCCTGTGAGAGTTAAGAGAACTGACCACAAGGCAAGATTTGAAATAACTGTTAATTTCCTAACTCCAATTTTATAACCCATTTGGGGAGCAAGTGGTGTTTCTCACAACTCAGTGCCAAAGCTGTGGCTCTCCATACATTGCAACAATCCTGTGTTCACACATCCCATGTAACGTGCCAACGTGAAGTTTGAATTAGACTGACCCATCACTGCACATCAGGGAACATAGACACTGCACATTGCGATGGTTGCACAGTCGTTGCATTAACAACAACAACAACAACAATAATAATAATAAAGCCGACAACGTCAAGCACACTGAAGTCAAGAAAAAGATTAGAGGTGAATACATCAAGAGAGTGAAGAAGATCTTAAAGTCCAAACTCAATGGAGGAAATACCATAAAGGCAATCAACACCTGGGCAATCCCAGTCATTAGGTACACAGCTGGAATAGTGGACTGGACTCAAGCAGAACTAAAAGCAATGGATAGGCAGACCAGAAAAATAATGACAATGAATCATGCCCTTCATCCACGCAGTGACATTGATAGACTTTATCTACCAAGGCAAATAGGTGGGCGTGGAATGCTACAAGTACATCAGATGGTTGAAGAAGAAAAAATGGCTTTGGAAGAATATCTGAAGGACAGTGATGAAGATGCACTGAAATTAGTATATCAGGAAGGCTTACTGACTGCTGGAGAGACCAAACTGGCCTACAAGAAAGACCAAATGAAGAACAGAATAGAGGCATGGGAAGACAAAGCACTACATGGCCAATACATGAGGTGGCGCAGCAGTTAGAGTGCAGTACTGCAGGTCACTTTAACTGACTGTGTTCAGCAGGTCAGCGGTTCAAATCTCACCGGCTCAAGGTTGACTCAGCCTTCCATCCTTCCGGGGTAGGTAAAATGAGGACCCAGATTGTTGGGGGCAATGTAAATATATATATATATACATTGCTTACTGGTGTACACCGCTTAGAGAGTGCTTGCACTTAAAGCGATATATAAGTCTCATAAATAAATAAATGAAAAAAATAGCTGGGAAAGCAGATAATAATAAAACCTGGCAATGGCTAAGAGCAGGAAAATTGAAGAAAGAGACCGAGGGACTAATTCTGGCTGCACAAGACCAAGTCTTAAGGACAAATGCATATAAAGTCAAATTGAGAAGACAGCAACAAACAGTGCCGCCTATGCAAAGAAGCTGAAGAAACAGTGGACCACTTGGTAAGCTGTTGCAAGAAGATTGCACAAACTGATTACAAGCAGCGGCATGACAAAGTAGCAACAATGGTGCATTGGAAGATCTGCAAAAAATATCATTTGCCTGTAAGCAAAAACTGGTGGAATCATAAAATAGAGAAAGTCAGAGAAAATGATAAAATTAAACTGCTCTGGGACTTCAGAATTCAAACAGACAAGCACCTGCAACATAACACCCCAGACTTAACAATTGTCGATAAGAAAGACAAAAAAGTCTGGATAGTGGAAGTGGCAGTGCCTGGAGACAGCAGAATAGACGAGAAAGAACTGGAGAAGATAACAAAATACAAAGACCTACAAATAGAAATAGAAAGACTGTGGCAAAAGCAAGCAAGGGTAGTACCAATAGTCATAGGCTCCTTGGGTGCAATCCCAAAACAACTGGAGCACCACTTGAACACAATTGGCATTGACAAATTCGCTATTAGTCAATTGCAAAAGGCGGCCTTACTAGGAACTGCTTCCATCCTGCGACGATATCTGTAATACCATCAAACATCCACATCTGCCTATCCCAGGTCCTGGGTAAGGACTCGATAGGTAGACAAAATGCCAAATCCAGTCTGAACATCTGGCTGACTGTGCGATGATTCATAATAATAAAGTTGGAAGAGACCTTGGAGGTCATCAAGTCCAACCCCCTCCTCAGGCAGTAACCCTACACCATTTTGGACCAATGGCTGTCCAGTCTCTTAAAAACTTCCAGGGTTGGAGCATTCACCGCTTCTGGAGGCAGGTTGTTCCACTGGTTAATTGTTCTCACTGTTAGGAAGTTTCTCCTTAATTCCAGATTGCTTCTCTCCTTGATTAGTTTCCATTCATTGCTTCTTGTCCTGCCTTCAGGCGCCTTGGAGAATAGCTTGACTCCCTCTTCTTTGGGGCAGCCCCTGAGATATTGGAAGACTATCCTGTCCCCCCTCGTCCTTCTCTTCATTAAACTAGACATACCCAATTCCAGCAACCGTTCCTTATATGTTTTAGCCTCCAGTCCCCTAATCATCTTTGTTGCTCTTCTCTGTACTCTTTCTAGAGTCTCAACATCTTTTTTACATCGTGGTGACCAAAACTGGATGCAGTATTCCAAGTGTGGCCTTACCAAGGCATTAAAGAGTGGTATTAATACTTCACGTGATCTTGATTCTATCCCTCTGTTAATGCAGCCTAGCACTGTGTTGGCCTTTTTGGCAGCTGCAGCATACTGCTGGCTCATATTTAAATGATTATACATCTACAAATGTTCATTCTGGCTAGGGGGCACTCAAACAGCAAAGCTGGACCAGCCAATCAGCATGCAGGATGTGCACCTCTGTGCAACACACAGTTGGGATTGGGGAGGTGTTTGCGTTGGCCTCTGCAGCCCTGCGTGCGATGGTTATGGGCAGTTCCAGGCAAACTCTACATCAGCCTACAGTTATCAAGCTGACATAGGATTCTAACATAGTTTAACACTGGCATGTAAATGTTACCTAAACTTTGCTCACCCAAGCTTTTGATGTCCGTTCTGTTTTGATTTGAAAATGTAGTGTTTGCTTTAAAAAAATTGGAAACGTTACATAAAGAAAACACTTTATTAAACCTGGGATGGGAGTCAGTAATATACAAATGTAGATCTTTACTTGTTGAGTCTCCTTTGTTTGTGGCTATTCTATGGCACCCATTGACTGTCATAGATCTGTTAATTGGCCTCCAGCAAATTAAAAAAAAAAAAAAACAACCTCATAATCATGACTCCCCCACCCCCTTTTTAGAAAAAAATGTCCGTTCTTTTTTACCCCACTTTTCTCTCCTCATCTTGGCTAAAAAGGCATGTTAATTTCCAAATTTATATCTGTAAGATGGAATTCAATCAAGAAATTAAGCCACTTGAATACTAACCAATCTCGATGTATCTGTCAAATGGCAAATATGAAAAAAAAAAACCCTTTCCTCATCTCTTTCCCTCCTTCCCTTGCGTGATCCCATCTTCTTCATTAAGGACCTTCATAAATATTCATTGAATAAATAGAAGATAGGATGTTATTAAAGCGATGGGGGGGGGGGAGATTGAGCAGGAGGAATGAAAGGCCAGCCGATCTTCCCAACAACGCCTGTCTGAATAGCAATAAATCACCGGGATAAGCAAGCTGAGAAACAGCCCTGTCATAGCAGCGTCATCATCACAGCCTTCTGGGGAAATCAGAATAAAGTGCAATAAAAATTCCTTCCTTCCTTCCCTCCCTCCCTCTTCCTTCCCCTCTTCCTTCCCCTCCCCTTCCCTTCCTCTCTTTTCTTTCCTTCTCCCCCTTCCTTCCTTCTTTCCTTCCTTCCATCCCTCTTCCTTCCTTCTCTCCCTCCCTCATTATAGACAAAACAGCTAGGTAGTGACTGAGTTGTATGAAAAGAGCTGGGTGAGTCTCCAGGAACGCACTGGTTCTGTCCCTTAATAATTGGAATAACTTAACTGGAAGTACTGAAAATAGATGTTGTGTGACTTTTCACGCCTACCCTGTGCCCTGCCAGCAAGATCTTTCTCTTCACTCTGCTTAGGCGTGGCCAATCTGGTAGGTCAGAAGGCAGGGTCACAGTGACCACCTGGGGGTGGGATAAAGATTGTCCAAGCTGACCTCAACAGGATGAGGAATTCATGCAGGTGGAGGTAGTAAGAATGAAAGAAATGGTTCTTGACCCACCCATACTTCATAGATAAAGGCCAACGGTGACCGACTTGCCTTCTGCTCTTTTCCAAATGCCTCCTGAGAAGCTGGTTTGGAGTTCCTCCTCCAGAACTGAAATCCCAACTAAATTAAGAAGCCCTCAAAGGTCAGTTGTCCAAGCTATTGCCCATCAGAAGTCATTTCAAATCTTTATTCTGCTCAGGAGGGGCTTTAACCTGATGTGAGTTTTTTGTTTTTTTTAAATGCAAACATCACAATGTTCAGGTTCAGATTAAAGCAACAGTCAGTCAAAACCCTAGTGCAGGGTAGGCAACCTTGGCTCTTTTATGACTCGTGGACTTCAACTCCCAGAATTCCTGAGCCAGCATGGCTCAGCTTGGAAACCTCTCCCTTTCTCCTCAGCATGGCTGGCTCAGGAATTCTGGGAGTTGAAGTCCACAAGTCATGGCCATAGTTCCCCCATGCTGGCTCAGGAATTCTGGGAGTTGAAGTCCACGAGTCATAAAAGAGCCAAGGTTGCCTACCCCTGCCCTAGTGGAACGATGTGGCGATTATTGCTCATATAAAATTTTATTACAACTGTGGAACAGCTGCTGTCCATCACTCTTTGCTGTGTTGTTCTTCACCCACCAATGTGCATCAAATTCCTCTTCGCCTCAGAATGACCAAACAGCCACTGGCCATTTTGTGAAACAATGACATTGAATACAGGTAGTCCTCAATTTCCGGCCACAATAGCCCAAAATTTCTGTCGCTAAGCGAGACAGAAGTTTTGCCCCATTTTACGACCTTTCTTGCCACAGCTGTTAAGTGAACCCCTGCAGTTGTTAAGTGAGTAACACGGTTATTAAGTGAATCTGGTTTTCGCCCGTGGACTTTGCTTGTCAGAAACTCACAAGGGGATCGCCTGACCCC